CAATTGTTACTAACAATGTGCAACCTGCCAACAAGGAGGTTTAAAAGAAACCTCCTTGCTGCCAATAAACCTACATTGTAGGGCTAGGCAGACATGAAGATGACTTCTAAAGAAGGTCAATTAATTTTTATACTTTCTCTTTCTTATTTGGCAGATGTTCTAAAGTCAAGCTTACAAACTAAAAAAATAGTTAAACTGTGACCTGATAAAGTGAAATCGAATACTTCTCTCATTCCCTTTACTTCCACTTGATATAATACAGTGTACTAGTATATACCTATTGTATATATTGTAAAGTGGATTTAGCAATCATTGTTTGGACCTGGTGAACTAGACTGGGCCTTACTTAGCCCAGTGGCCTCAGTGAAGGCCCATGGGCCATGCAAATGAGTCATTCTACTGGTAAAACTGTCAGACATGTGCTAATTACACTGACAAGCAAGGTGTGATAACTCATTATGCGAGTGTATTTTACAGTGTGGAATGGCCAATTATAACTCATTTGCACTGGGCTGGACCTATGCTAGGCCATGTGGTCTACGAAGGGGCCAGTATTGGCTGTTACTTGTTCATGTGGTCCAACCAATAGACCACTGAGTTGGGCAACTTTCAAAATGGAATACTTCCGTAACGTTACATGTTATGACCAAATTAAAGACATCATGATGCAAGGGAAATCATGCTCTTTCCAATGACATGTAAAAGTTAACTGTATCTTCAGTAGAAAAAAAGTTAGAAAATTGGATCACCAAGATGGCTGCCTTGAAATCGGGAAACTGAACTTCCCAATTTAAACTGACCAGTGTTAACTGACCATCCAGAATGTTCTTTAGAACAGGTAAACAAACTGTGACGTAATAATGTGATAGGTCCATTGCACTGGTATCTTGACTAACTCCATGTGTAACTGTTCTGCGTGTGTTTTCCAGCTGCATGCCCTGAGAGAACAACAGGAGCTGGCCCAGGCCAGGGGAAAACTCCAGGAGAAACAGTCCGAACGACAGAAACAACTCCTGGCCGGGAAGAAGAAAGAAAACAGTAAATATCTCTCTTGTGGACATTAGAAATCAGAGAACTGAATACTTCATAAAAAGAGAATGAAACATTCCTACATTGGTTGAAAAACAGAAAAGGGGCCTAAATCACAGGATAGGGGGTGCAAAAATCACAGAAAAGTCCCTACACTTTAGCTTATACTAGCTAGAACACTAATATGTTTACTGAAGGAAAACATATTGAATATTATTCGTTTTTGCTATGTTTCATCTTCTTCATCTTCTCCAAACCAAAAAGGTCAATGACCTGAACCAGACTGTCTGTTACCATGGTAACTAGTGTTGGGTTACATCATGTTGCAATTTTATATCAGGAGGGATTTAGACTCCTGTCTGACCATATTTTTATTGTGTTTTAGTGAGAATTAGCAAAGCAGACCATATGCAAAGGTAAACATGCATTTGTTTTGCAAATGTTACCTTAAGTTTCTAGTTTAAAGTATTTCTTGTTTTCCCCAGGTGCAATGGCCTCCACCGAGGTGAAAGAGAAGTTACAGACGTTCATCCTGAGTAAGAAGCAGCGAGAGGCGGCGGCCAACAGCCTGCACCAGTCCACACCTCTCAGCATGGCACACTGGTTTGTTTCTTTGTTTGTTTTAGGATCTCCATTAGTGCAAGTTTCACACTACTCTTCCTGGAGTCAGTAGTGAATCATCAGATAGTAGTATTTGAACCATTGCACACCGGGGCATGCCCCTACTCTTTTTCGAAAGGCGTGGATGGTTCTTTAATGTACGTGGGGTGTGGCTCTCCCCGAACACAGGACCTTTTCCCGTCCTATCCAAGGGACGTCCCTAACTAAAACTTAAATACTTATTTTCACCTTGGGAAAGGAACTCACATGAATTTCCTCACTAACTCAGGTGAAAATGAGTATGTCATCTGTTCATAAATGTAACTGTTGGAAAAACTTGAGTGTGCCTTCGCCATGTCTTGTAAGAAGTGTTGAAATAAAAGAATTGAAAAAAAATGTTTTCTGAATGTTTTGCAGGCCGCATGGGTCCCTGGGTCACATGCCCATGTCAGGAGACCTGGCCGCGGCGGCAGCGTACAAGGGACACCCGATGCTGGGGACTTACGGGAGCAATGCAGACTTCCCACTCAGAAAAACAGGTAGGGCTGAAGAGCAAACTTAACCAAAACCATGATAAAGTGGGGTTGTGTGACGTAGCAGCAGAGTGCTCGACTCTGAACCAAGAGGTCCCAGGTTCAAGTCCTGATATGCTACCGATCTAGTGCCCTTGGGAAAGGCACTTTACACGACTTTCCTCACTTGACTCAAGTGAAAATGAGTATTGTCCTATCCTGTACGTGTATTTGTTTCTATGTGTGGGACACAACACCAGCAATAGCTGCCTGTGTCCCACCTTTTAATTGTACATGTCATTAAATCAAATCAAATTTATCTTTTAAAAGTTGGAAGTGTGCTTACCCTTGCATAGAGCATCACCTTTCTCCTGTAGTTTCTTTTGTGATTATTATTAATCGTAGCTATTTTTATGTATAACACTTTTTCTAAAATTTGCTGATGAATGTTTTTGTCTCCCTCGCAGCCTCTGAGCCGAACCTGAAGGTCCGATCGCGCTTGAAACAGAAGGTCGCGGAGCGGCGAAGCAGCCCGCTTTTACGGCGGCGCGACGGGATCGGAGGCAGCTTTAAAACGAGAAAACCCTTATCAAGTGAGAACCCGACCGTTCCCTACAATGTACATGCATTGGGTAAATGTTTACATCAACGTTGTCTAACTTTCCTAACTTTAACCTTCTCCCTACTTCCTCTGTATATGCATTGCATAAATGTTTACAGCATTGTCTAACTTTTGAAATGTAAAAGCCTTCTCCCTACATTGTGTACTGTATGTGTCCGATCCGTACTTCGTGCCCAAAGGCAACATTAGTAGGTAGATGGTTTGTCTAAATCAGTTACCGAAGGGTTGTTTGGTGATGGTTTACAAATAATTTAAGAATATACACACACACAATGTAATTTGAACAAAAGTGCCGGTAACTTTGCAGTTAATTTTTGTTAGTTGACTGTGTTTTTGTAACGTTCTTTGGTAAACTTATGTGTGTGTAGTTGATCAGTCTCCCACCCAAAGAAAGAAAGAAAGTGACAAAATAGAAGACCAGTCAAAACATATAAGAAATATCCAAAGCTTATAGAAAAGTAAAGGCCCTATTGATTGTTGGTGAAGATTTTTAAAGACAAATCATCTTTAGTTTCGATTAACCTTCTTCTTTTTTTTGTTATGTCACTGTATCATATGTGATACCGTAATATTGTAAAGTTTGTATACCCGTCATTGCCTGAAAAACAGGTTGTTACTGCTGGTGAAATGAATAAACCGAAACTGAAACATTCTATGTTAAACTTTTCTGCCCGTGTAGTTGACCTGTCGCCCACTGGTGTGGACACGTCGTCCTGTAAGAGTGCTCCTGGCTCGGGACCCAGCTCACCCAGATCCAGCCACAGCAACATGGTCATAGCGGCTAATCACGAGGTACGTGTAGTTGTTACTGTAACTGGTCATAGCGGCCAACCACGAGGTACGCATCACTGGACAGTTTGTACTTTTCGTTTTGTTTTTCGTGTTGAGAGAAACTGTAACATGATCATAGCTGCCAACCATGGGGTACGTGTTACTGTAACTGGTCATATGTACATGTAGCTGCCAACCACGAGGTAATTGCAACTCTGGACAGTTTGATTTTCGCTATTTTTTTTAAGTTGAGAGAAACTGAAACTGTAACAGTCCCTGTGGTGTATGCCAAGCACATGAGGCACAGTTGGCAGAATGTACTGGATTTTTCACGATTATTGGCTGATGTTTGGTCAAAGTTGCATCAGAATTTTGAGCGTCTTGCTTAAGTGCTAAGCACAGTACATTACAGGTTTCGCACAGGTACATTACACTCTGCCAATATGCTATCACAAAACACGAATTATGGCCATTCAAAGGTTATAATGTCTCCACTTTTGCCAGCAAGAGGCCGGTGTCCATCCGGCAGAATTCACCAGTGTACACCTCCCTGTCTCATTTCATGAAGAACATACCACACCTGCGCGAAACCCATGTTTTTTAGGGCTTCTTTGGATGTTAAATTTACTACATTTTTGTCAGCAGGAGGCAGGAGTACCACCAACTGTTGTTCCTGGCAGGATGGTGGGTGGAAATGCTGCAGACTTCACCCTGTACACCTCCCCATCTCTACCCAACATCTCCCTGGGGCTGGCCAACTCTTCAAGCTCTGCTGACACCACGCAGACGGTGAGGCAAAAAACTTTGTCTTATTGCACCAAAAAACAGTTACTCAAGCAGCTTGTCTGGTGCAGGCAATTTTTAGAATATTACTTGTACCGGTGCGGGTGTGCAGAAACTCAGTCAAGCACTCACTATCTATCCGGTTTATCGTCAGTTGTTCCTTGTTATCCGAGGGTTAGATTTGCTTGCACAACAATGCTTAGGCCTGATGGTAGCCTGCGATTTGCCTGTGTCCTATGGGTTGATGTTATGCAGGATAAGGTTTAGAGAAAGTGTTAATTTTCGGGTGCAATAGCTCAATTGGTAGAGTGCTCGCTTTGTAACCGGGAGGTCGTGAGTTCAAACCCCGGCCGGGTCATACCAAAGACTTTAAAAATGGAACACACTTCTTTCTCTGTTTAGGACTCAGCACATATGAGAAAGAGTGTGGGAAGGTCAAACACACAGCACTACCAGCGGACTAGCCCCCTGCTGTAGTGCCTTGCATAACTGTGTGTCGCCCAAGGGCTATGGAAATCAACATGGGCACTAAACCCTCCTGACATTTCTTAATCCTGCCCTTACAGGGAGAGAAGGTGGTACAGTCAGCGCTGTCTCGCGAGGCGGAACTTCGCGCCATGGCGGCGGCGCGGCTCGGCCAGCCGCTGACCGGTCACATGATCCCCACCCAGTCCGGACTGGCGCACCTGGCCATGCACGGCGGCATGGAGTCCGAACTCAACCAGTCGTTCCCGCCCGGGAACCCCAACCTCATCCACGCACGGATGAAGGCACTGGAGCAGCAGGGGATCCCTCCTGTAACTGTGCAACATCTGTTGGCAGGTAGGACTTTTAGATACGATAAATCCACTTTTAGTATTGCGTTTGGTAAGTTAGCAGCCTGGGAAATGGACTAGCTAGCTGCACTTAACTTTAACAGTGTGAACTTTGCTTATGTGTGAAAAAAAATGCATGCAAACCCTAGCCTTTCTCTTACTAAAAGTCAGTGCAGGTCCTTCTTCATTTGCTAGATGGCAGTCATTGCATTGTTGGTCATATCTGTCACATATTAAAATGTTCATTATGTATTGGTGAGGTAGTGACATGGAATTAGATTTCATGTTAAGAAATCAGATGATCTACAGGGATTCACAAGAAAACTGTTACTCTAGCAATCCAGTTGTTTGAGAAAGTCCGAGCGTATTTCATTTCCTGGATTTCTAACCTTCATTGACAAATCTACGGTGTTGTTCTTAACAAAACCTCTCTAATTACAGGAGCGAGACATGGTGAGCTAGCAGGGCCGGCGTCGACGGTAGCGATGATCAGCACAACCATGTCCACGGGAGTGTCCAGGCCTGACAACCAGCCACCCAATGCAATACCACGCCGGCTACACAAGTAAGCAACAACAAGCATTAAATGCATCCAATGCAATTTCACGGCACGAAAACTGTAAATATTTTGAATATGGCAGTCTGTATGATGTTGACAAATACAGTACTGTCTCACATTAGCACAGTTGCATCTGATTAAGTATTTCACACTTTGGGCATTGAAAACAGCGCAGAAACAAGTCCCAACTTGAATCCTTTATTTTCCTAAGGTATTGAAATCAAGAAAATATTTGTAGAGTTTCTGTGAATCGCTGTTTTATTCATTGAAACATGACAGCAAGTGTTTGGAAATGAAAGAACTTTGTTGTTGAATCATTCACCAACCTGATAAAATTTTTCTTCGTGTCTCTACAGACCCCTTGGTCGGACCCACTCAGCGCCACTGCCGGGTACTCACATGCACCACCTGCAACAACAGGTGCTCCACCCACAGCACTACATGCAGGCCCTGCTCAGACAGGTGGGACTTCTTCATGTGTGTGTGTGTGAGTGAGTGTGTGCATGTGTGTGTGGATGTGTTGTTCAGTACTAAGAACAGGCATGTTCAACAGGTGCTGCACCTGCAGCATTACATGCAGGCACTGCTCAGGCAGGTGGGTCTTTTTTATGTGTGTGTGTGTGTGTGTGGTGTTCAGTACCAAGGACAGGCATGTTTGTGTGTGTGTGTGCGTGTGCGTGTGTGTGTGTGTGTGTGTGTGTGTGTGTGTGTGTGTGTGTGTGGTGTTCAGTACCAAGGACAGGCATGTCTGTGTGTGAGTAGTTTAGCACCATTTCTCAAGAAGCTATAGATGGATTGTCATGAAACTTTGTAGGTGGATAGGTCTTGATGAGACCTCGAACTGATTACATTTTAGGCCCCCTTGGAGCTTTCTATGGTCCTGCAGCATAACTCCTTAAACTGCCTCCTATCTCCAGCATGTTGTAAACAAGCAGCAGCTGGGTAACGGGGACATCGCTAAGCAGTGTAGTCAGTTCTTGTGGTTGTATGACAAGTCTCCTGATTGTTCTAATAGTGGCATAACTCTGTTTACTACCACTTCCACACAGCATGTTGTTAACAAGCAGCAGCTGTGAAACGGGGACATCGCTAAGCAGCCCGGCCCGGAGCCTCCTGATTGTTATGATACTGGTGTAACTCCCTATACTACTTCTTCTCTCCTACAGCATGTAGTGAACAAGCAGCAGCTGGGTAACGGGGACATCGCTAAGCAGCTTAGTCAGTTCTTGTGGATGCCGCCACCAGTTCTTTGTAGTTGTATGTCAAGCCTCCTGATTGTTGTAATAGTGGAGTAACTCCCTATACTACTTCTCTTCAGCATGTAGTGAACAAGCAGCAGCTGGGTAACGGGGACATCGCGAAGCAGCCACGCCCGGAGCCTCACCCTGAGGAGACGGAGGACGAGCTGAAGGAGGTCACGCAGGTCACCGTCAAACAGGAGCCGCTCGACAGCGATGAGGAAAACGAAGAGGTCAGGGGGCATAGTTAACAAAATTATGTTTGGGGTGAAGAGGTCAGGGGTCATGGTTAAATTATGTTTTTGGGTGTAGAGGTCAGCTGTCATGGGTCACAAATTTAAACTAATTCTGATTACATTTTGGGGTGAAGAGGTCAGGGGTCATAGTTCACAAATACTATCAGTTCTGATTACGTTTGGGGTGAAAAGGTCAGGGGTCACAGTTAAAGAAATCCAAATTTTGGTATTAATAGTAATACAAATCCCATTGTGTCATGAGAAGTTAAGGTTTTAACATATTTATTATGTTTACCGAAGGTAAAAAAAAATATATTGTTTTTGCTCTGTTTCCTCTTCTTCTTCTCCAAACAAGTAAGGTCAATGACCTGAACCAGACGTCTGTCACCATGGTAACTGATGTTGAGTTACATCATGTCACAATTTTATAGCAGGAGGGATTTAGATTCCTGTCTGATTATATATGAATGTGTTTGAGTAAGAATTAACAGAGCAGACCCTATGCGAAGGTAAACGTTTTGCATTTGCTTTGCAAATGTTACCTTAATCTAGTTTCACTTGGATTAATAATTTGTCTCTTTTGATTATTTTGTAGGAGGAGACCTGTCGACAATTAGATATGAACATTGACGGTGAGTTAAGATACTGTTCTATTACAAACAAGAGTAGAAATATAATGTAATTAGGATACTATCAGAGTAATATACGACAGGTATTGTTTTCTACAATATTGATGTATACAACTGTAGATGTGTAGGCTTGGTAACTGTATTATAATAGTGTGATTGCTGCGATAGATGTTGCGCAAATTCATGTTAAGACTAACTTTCCCTGATGTTTTGTTTTTGTCTACAGGGACTAGTGCCCACAGACCACTATCCAGAGCACAGTCCTCTCCGGCTACCTACAACTCTGTCAAGTCTGTCTTCACCACAGGTAAGACTTGTTGACTAAAGGTTCTGGGTACGAATCCCTTCAGCCGGCCCAAATGTTTTGCCCTTGGGATGGGACGTAAAGCTAAGTTTGAGGAGAGCCACACTTCTGGCGTGTTGAAAAATCTAACACAGTTATCGCTAAGAAGCCTTCCCAGGTGTTTGGATCTAACATAATTGGTCTTTCACTGTTTTCAAAGTTAACAAACATACAAACAAACATCAGTAACTAAATGCTGGTCAGAACCTAGTGTCTTGCCATTTTATGTAATAATTTCAGATATTAGTAACTGAAAAAATACCTTATATACAGTTTTTTGTTAGAGAAAAACTTGAAACATAGACATACACATGTGGTAATTCTTTCTAGTAAGAACAAAAACAGGTGTAAAATGTATGATTTTTGTTTAAGGGAAAGTTCTCTAATCATCCTTAGGGGGATGTTAACCTAAGTTTTCTCTCTGCCCCCCTCTGCAGGTGTTGTGTACGATCCCCTGATGCTGAAGCACTCCTGCAGCTGCGGAAACAACAGTTACCACCCGGAACACTCCGGCCGCATCCAGAGTGTCTGGTCCAGACTACAGGAGACAGGGCTAGTCAACAGATGTGAGGTGAAAACCCTGTGTTAGTTACACAATCTCTCCTTAGGCCTAGGAAAACAAATGCTGTTCCTGTTTCAGCCCTGAAAAAATCAGGTTCGGTAGGTAGGGATTTTTTTTGTTATCAGACATTGGCGATCTCAAGTGATCCAACTACACTATATATAGTAGAGGAGATTCATTCCTCAAGCTAACCGACATCTCGCACATGCAGTCGTTCCTCAGTAAGACATCTGGAGCTGCATAGTTCCCGTTTAGAACTTTTATTCAGCCTGTCACACGGCCGATTTTGCCTGTGTGGCTTCTTTAAGTGTACAGAGGCTGAATGACACAAGTACATGAAGTTCTCACTTATATACCTTTCTTAATAAGGTAGAGCTCCATAACTTACATGTAAGTCTTGTTATAAGATTGTTTAACTGCCAGTTTAACCAAAAAGTTTCTTCTCTTTCCAGAGAGTACGATCAAGAAAAGCAACTATAGATGAGTTAAAAACCTGTCATAGGTGAGTACACACAGTTACATGTATCTAGACTATGTTTGTTGACATTTTTTCAGCTAAATTTTAGAAGAGAGAAAAATAGACATCCAAGACCCATATATTGGATTGGTCTGATCGTACAAGTATGTGTGATTTGGAATTAACTTTTTCTTGTTTTCATGACGTCTTCCAGTGAGCAGCATGTGTATTTATATGGGACCAATCCACTACATCGACAGAAACAAGACAGCAAGAAACTGGGTAAGTTTGTTAGTAAAATTTTGCCCAACAATGTACCTAAATAATAGTTAGTAATAGAAATGTTATAGCTATAATAGAAGTGGGAGGTTCATCATAAAATCCATCATTGTGTCAATCTTTGGGTACCCAGCAGAATCATGAGAAATGTTTTTTTTAACATTGTGTAAATGTGACATGTCAGAATTTAATTTTCATAATGTTTGTGTTCTTTTGCATAGCTGGAAGTCTGCAAAAGAGTTTCAAGTATCTTCCGTGTGGGGGACTGGGGGTAAGTCTTATCTTTCTCTGGAGTCATCTTAAAGTTATCCTATTTGTTTCCATAAAAAAAGGACTGGACTTCATACTAAATGTGAATGTTGACTGTGAATGCTGTATAATAGTGTAGTGTGCATACATGTAGTCCATGCCTCAGGACCAAGAGGTTGGGAGTTTGAATCCTGGCTGTTGTTGCTCACCCGGCATGCATGCTACTGGAAGGGGGCACAGTCCTTAGGATACATTAAGTTCTGGTCTACAAACTATGTAACTGTTCATTGTGCTTGTTGAAACGAGTTAAGGGAATTTCCCCGGTACAATGAACCTGTAAATACTGTACATAGCGTCTGTCTTCTCTGTCACGACCAGTGGGAGATTAGATCTTTAGTGAGCCTAAACTGGATCGAGATCACTTTTCTTTTTCCCTTTTTTCTAGGTTGATGCAGACACGATCTGGAACGAGCTGCACTCGCCCAGCGCCCTGCGCATGGCGGCAGGATGCGTCATAGAACTGGCTTTCAAGGTCGCACAGGGAGAGCTCAAGGTCAGTGCAATACAAGGTCAAGTTGTTTTATCCAGGGCCAGAATATTTCGATTTTAAGCCAAAACTACATCAAGCAGGTCAGACTGGTCAACTATTTCTTTGGAGGAACTCATTCAGATTTTTATAATTTGGTATTTTTATTGTATGTTGATGCATACAGTTTTCCTGATCAATGAAGAATAAAAGAAACATCTTTATTTTTTCCAGAATGGCTTTGCTGTAGTCAGACCTCCAGGCCACCATGCTGAGATTGACCAGGCCATGTAAGTGTTTTATTAACATTTTTTTTTTATTCATTCACATATAGAAAGGTACAAGACTTGGTGGTGCCGCACTCAAGTGGAAAGCACTTATGTTTACGGCACCACTAAATAAATACATATAATAAAGAAAAACAAACGCAACTTTAAGACAGGCAAAACAGTATATACAGGAAATTCAAAAGCGCAAGTCCAGTTCCCCACCCAATGATAAATGATGGCAAAGAGATTAACATTTGCAAGGTGAACACAAGGTATGCACAATGGTAATTACAATACATTGTAATGTCCAATTTCTGCAGATCTAACATGTTAAAACTTTGTTTTTTTCGTTTGCAGGGGATTCTGTTTCTTCAACTCAATTGCAGTCACAGCGAGACTTTTAGTACAAAGATTGAAGTTGAACAAAGTGCTAATAGTTGACTGGGTACGTCAATGTCTTATTATTACATGTTAGAAAAGTTTGGCCTGTTTTGAATATTATACCAGTAGCTACAAAATGTATATCTTTATTTGCTTCAAGTTGGTGAATGTTATATGACAGTTACTAACATGTGATGCCTCCTGACCGCCTCCCCCCCCACCACATTCTATTTTACTCCTAATATGCACAGTTCTTCCAGTTCATATGTACATCATGTATTCTGCATTTTGATATATTTATATCTGAGGATATTTAAAGTGTTAAAATTTTGTCCTACAATGTATTTTTAAAAATGGGCAATGTTACATGTACATGTATACGAGTTAACATGATGCTGCCCCCTCCCCCCAGGATGTGCACCATGGTAATGGGACGCAGCAGATGTTTTACGAGGATGCGCAGGTTCTGTACGTCTCCCTGCATCGCTGGGACAGCGGAAACTTCTTCCCAGGAACAGGCGCCCCCGATGAGGTAAGCTGGTACTGTAGTTAGAATATAGGCGCCCCCAGTGTCGTAAGCCGGTACTGCAGCTAGAATATAGGGGTTTTCTGTAGCTTGTGACTAGTGTTTTACGAGGATGCGCAGGTTCTGTACGTCTCCCTGCATCGCTGGGACAGCGGAAACTTCTTCCCAGGGACAGGCGCCCCGATGAGGTAAGCTGGTACTGCAGCTAGAATATAGGGGTTTTCTGTAGCTTGTGACTAGTGTTTTACGAGGATGCGCAGGTGCTGTATGTCTCCCTGCACCGCTGGGATAGCGGAAACTTCTTCCCAGGAACAGGCGCCCCCGATGAGGTCAGTCCATACTTCAACTAGCCTGGTGTTTTTAGCTTTAGTACACTCTCTCTGTAGCTTTCCATGATGAGATGGGTAGGTATTGCAGCTAGCTTGGCTGCCATTTTGTTTAGCTCTAGTACACTCTCGGGATACAAATTCAGGATATTTATTGACAGATTCAGGCTGTTGATACATGTAGCTGTTTTGAATAAAGAGACTCTTTTTTTTACACAATCACACAGTTTATTCAGCCAACATCTGAGTGACCGTATGTCACCTTCCTCAGGGCAATTCTGACTGGTTCACGTTGGCTGAATAAACCTCTGTGTAAAAAGAAAGTTTCTTCCTTCATTGACTTACCTGATGAAGTAATTCACAGATGTGTCTGTTTTGTTTTCTGGGATAGGAGTTATCATTTACACAACCAATAAATTATTATCTTACCTAGAGTGCTGACGTTTCGTGTCTATCAGACAACTTCCTCAGAGCTTCTGACTGGAGTTAACTCCAGTTTCCTATACTTTACCAACCTGATGAAACTTTATTCGGATGTTTTGTGTCTTACACAGTGTGGTAACGGGGCAGGTCTGGGCAAGAACGTGAACATCTCTTTCCTTGGAGGGTTGGAGCCACCCATGGGAGACGCAGAGTACATGGCAGCATTCAGGTGAGATGATGGGCATGGTACCAAGCAGCCTGAAATTTTTTTTTCTGTCATCTCAATTTTGTTTGACGTATCACCATCTTGACAATCCATGGGGGACTGGAAAAATTTTTGAAACCTTTAACCCTCTGAACAGCTACTTCCTGCCTTTTGAGGGGCAGATTTTGCTGGTTAGTTTAATGGCATCTCTTTCCATATCACAAAGATTTTTGTCCATCAAAGATGACAGATGGGGTAAAATTTTTGTCACGAGCAGCAAAATACTGCTGCAGGACATTACAACTCTCAAAAACAGACACAAATTAAGAATGTTTAAATCGCCACTTCGGTGATACTATGTACTAGACAGTGCCCAGAGAGGGACAGTTGCTTAGCTGAGACAATGTGTTTTTCATTTGCATAGAAAAACATTTGAATATGAAACTGATTGGTAATCTTTGACGATAATTTCCGCAGAACGGTGGTGATGCCGATTGCGGTGGAGTTCTCGCCTGACCTGGTGCTCGTGTCTGCAGGGTTCGACACCGCAGAAGGCCACGCCCCTCAACTGGGTGGCTACAAGGTCACGCCCAAGTGTACGTATCTGTATCTGTATAGCCGGAATAACCCTTCGGCATAACACACTAGCTTCTCTATCTGTATTTGTATAGCCGGTATAACAGTTAGGCGTAACACACCAGCTTCTGTCTCTGTATAGCCGGTATAACTGCCCTTCGGCATAACACACCAGCTTCTGTATCTGTATAGCCGGTATAACTGCCCTTCGGCATAACACACCAGCTTCTGTATCTGTATAGCCGGTATAACTGCCCTTCGGCATAACACGCCACCTTCACAGGCACATGGTGTGATGGCAACTGGCTACATTACACCAAACCTTTGCACATCTAACTTGTTTGAAGCCCTTTTGCCTAACACCAGCTTCTGTATCTGTATAGCTGGTATATGTAACTGCCCTTCGTCGTAACACACCAGCTTCTGTATCTGTATAGCCTGTATAACTGCCCTTTGGCGTAACACACCAGTTTCTGTATCAGTATAGCTGGTGAAATGCCAGCTTTGCAGGCACGTGGCGCAGCGGCAGCTGGCTTTATTACACCAAACTGAAATATTGATGAAAGCTACCATTTTGTTCTGATTCTACAGGTTTTGGTCACATGACCAAACAGCTGATGAGTGTTGCAGGGGGGCGAGTTGTGCTGGCACTGGAGGGAGGGTAAGTCTGTTCAACTGATAATATTGTAAGTCTAATTATTCAACTGATGATATTAAAGATATAGTCACCGTCCATTTTGTTTCACAATAAGTCATATACAGTAAACGCTGACATGATTTCTGGCCATGTATAAAATATCAAAAATACATAAATTTTGTAGGTTTGAATTAAGGATAAAGCATTAAGGATTAAGTATTAAACGAAACTTTTTTATTTAATCAAGTGTACAATGTCCTTGATGTAATTTTCTGTTTTTCACTTCCTTTGTTGTAGGTATGATCTTGCAGCTATCTGTGACTGCTCAGAGATGTGTGTACAAGCACTGCTTGGGGATGAGGTAATTGATACTACATGAATTATCTAATTAGTATAATTATATATAATTGACTACTCCTTGGGGACCAATTAATGCATTCTGCATAATTGTCACCCTCTGCCATGTACCCAATAGAAATATAAACTTAATGGAGTAAATCATTCTGGAGTTATTGGCCTGGAGTCTGGATTTAAATTGTTTCTTCGGAATTAAATTGCTGCTTGTTAAATGTATGTTTGTTGAAAGTTCTTGTGTGTTTTCCCTGTCTGCAGTTGCCACCCTTGCCAAAGGAAATCATCGAGCAGCCGCCCAACAAAAACGCAGTCGCATCTCTGGAGCAGACCATCCGCCTGCAGTCGCCCCATTGGTCCTCGCTGTCGCGCTACGCCAGCACGGTCGGGTACTCGCTGTTCGAAGCCTACGAGAGGGAGAAGGAGGAGGCTGACACTGTCAGCGCGCTCGCGTCGCTCAGCGTGGCTTCGGCGCCGGGAGTTGGGATGCCTGCGTCTGCCAACAGGTTGGTGTCTTTTATAATTTTCCTTGTGAAAAATGGCAGTGTTGTTTTTGCTTTGTGACTGTGTGTGTGTAGTGTGTGTGTGTGTGTGTGTGTGTAGTGTGTGTGTGTTTGTAGTGTGTGTGTGTGTGTGTGTGTGTGTGTGTGTGTAGATGTGTGTGCATGTGTTAGTGTGCGCGCGCTTGTGTGTTATGTTGGGAACCTTTTATATATCAGCAGCATAAGAGAAAGTCCTGCCAAAAACAAGTTACTCATGACAAGCAACTGGATATGATTTTGGAAATGGCCAGACATTTCAAGTAGCAGCCACTACCTTTCATTAGTTTATACTTGTACATTTACGTATCCCACATGACATATCAATAAGTGCTTTGATACGTGTTTGTTTGTTGTTGAGTTTTTGTTTACCGTGTTTTATGCTTCCTACAGGGCTGAAGCAGCGGAACCCATGGAGGAGGACAGTGCAGCTGCCTGAAGGTTGCGCCCGCCGTCGTGTGCGTAGGTTTTGGGTCGACGTCGACTTCCCGACGGCCCACCACCCCCCGTCCCTGGACGATGGTTTCTCGTAGAGACTCGGGAGTCGGGGGAGCTCCTTTGTGTAGTTGCAGAACCATGCCTCCACCGTGTGTCCCGTGCCCAGCCCGTGTACTCTCTAAGTGTACAGATTGTACAGGACCGTGCAGTGTCTTTGTATCTGGTTTATCGTGGTCGGTCTCATAACATATTATTACTAGTCCTTTCTACTCACGACGAAAATGATGATAACTTTGTACCAAGTGTTTTTCTCTCGGTCTTTTTTTTTCTTATTCTCTTCCGTTTTACACGTGGGATCATGTCGTTCTGTGTGCGTTGCGTCGAAACTCGTAGAATAACGCTAGCGGTGGTGACCACCTCATCAGAGCTCGTAACGTGGTGTTGACAAATGTATACTTTTCTCATTAATGTCGACAAAATTTCCTTCTTATTTTTATGAATTCATTATATATATAAATATATATATACAAGATTGATACTTATGATTGCAAAAGGGCAGTGGTAAGCAGGCATCGGTTGAGAGCAATACTCGGTGATGCTTGCCAGTCAGCGGGAACAGGCAATTTCTGAAAGGACTGTTCAGTCAGAGGACATCAGTTTTGCTCTTTGCTCGCTGAGGGATGGATTTTTTCGATAGATGGTGGCTCGATGTAAATGTTTGACTACTTTTTGCCGACTAATCCGCAGGGCGTGTCGTTGCTAGGGAAACAGGTAAAAAAGAGTTGTTGTAGTCCGTCGACGAAATTTGATAAAAGAGAGATTTTATAGATGGCTTTTAGAGGAGAGCGACTTAGGAGGATGTCTGTTGTTGTTGGTTAAAAAAAAACGAAAAGCGATGACTGAAGTTGTCCTGGTGTACATATCTTGCTTTTCAGGAGAAAGTTTGAAGAAACCCACTCCTTGTGGTGGGCTTGGGATAAGGAGTGGTACGTCCGAAATATCATCGCATATACTTCCTTCCACTCCTATGCCTTTATTTTTGAGATGTGAGTTTAAAAGAAATTGATATGTGTAGTACAAGTTCGTGTACAAGTGACCTGTAACTGTTGATAGTGTACAGCGTAAAAATTGTATATGAAATGTCGTGCCTACAGCTGTTAGAGAATTGTACATGTATGTAGACCAGTGCTTGTGGTAGGGCCTCTGGCTGTTGGGCAACGAAAGCTGCTTCCTGCTAGGTGTTGTCTGTGGTTACGTCAATGCCCCAACAAACATGGTTGCTCCTTTGTAAGACGGGTTAGCCCCTCTCTCACACACAAACACACACATACGCACACACACAAGCACATGCACACACACAAGCACATGCACACACACACACAGACACACACATGCACACACACACACAAACACACACACACACATTCACAAACACACATGCATGCACACACACACACACATGGTATTGAAGCGATACGTTTGAACGAGAACAGCTTAAAAATGTATCCCCATTCTGAGGCTGTGCAGATAAATTGTCCCTTCTTTGTTGTTGAGACAAAAAAATTCTAAAAGGAAATTTCTAAGCAGGATTTCGGACTTAAGATTTGAACAGTCTGTACAAGGAGTAAAACTTTTTTTTGTAAAATAGGTTGTTGCAACAAACAGCTTTTATTGGTATCATAAAATGTATTTCTGGCCTAAAGTACTTCCAATTGCCTTGCCATATTTGCTAATACAAAGCCAGAGAAACAGTGTAGACGGAACATAGAAGAATATGTTGATATGCTCAACACAGAAAGCATTCTAAACTATGCTTTTTCGTTATTCTTTTTTTTTTTACATTTATAAGGGTAAACCTTAGAGGCACAAAAATATTGTCTCTCCTTCCTAAATTTTAGTGTGATTGTTTGAAAGCCACTGCATCATGGGATTGATAGAAACAGAGACCCCTTCCCACAATTCATTGGGGCACCCATGTCTGTTGGAGTTTGAGGTTTGTTAACACACCTCGTGGTTGACAAAAGAAGCACTCTGAAGCAAAGTTGAACTCTTTTTGGAGAAATTTCAATTATTATATATTTGACAGTCCAACTCAATTATTTGTCGAAGAATGAGCAATCCACGTTCGAAATGCCAGAGTTCAACCTTGCTTCGGAATGATTTTTTACGGAGATCACAGATAAAACTTACAAGTTGAGAGACGCACTGTGATGACTGCAGCGTCGCTCAGTGCCGTGTGTTGTGGCATCGTAGAAGGTTTGACTGTAAGAACATTCCCTGTATCCAGCTGATACAATGTATGTAAAAGACCTCTGTTTCGACATGTACTTATTTTCAAGTCAGCAACTTTCTTCTACATCCTCGATGCTTAAAGTGGTGCTGGTGACGTAGTTAAAAGCATTGGTTGGCTTTTTGAAATCAGAATCTATTTTGAATGACGATGACAGCAAGAGTATTTGATTTTTAGGACATTGTGAATACCTGGATAGACTTGTCAAAAGTCTATCCACACATACTTGTACTTCGATGTAATGTGTTGACAAGTTTGTGAAAAGTCGGCGCAGAATTTTGATTAGAGATATAACATGCAGCATCATGTCCAAAAGGTTAAGGTCAATCTTGCAAATGCTTTTGAAAACTAATTTGTACATAAGAGAACATCCAACATAGAGATCAACTAATCTCCAAGCAGCTTGTTTTTGTTTTCCTCTTAGGTCACTCATTTGCATGTCTCTCATTTACATACTAGGGACAACCCTGCATGTCTCACATTTACATACTCGGGACAACCGAAATGGTACAACTTGTATGTCTGCTTGGGGATTAGATCAAAGGTCGGAACTAAAAAAAAACATTGTGTACAAATCATGTCATCCATAATACCCAAGAAGATGCCACAACACAGAATCTAGGGCTTGACATTTATTTAACTGCTCACGGAGCTATATAAATAAATCACCCCAAAATTACTTTCATCTATATTTTTTCCTATTGAAAACCGGAGACCTGTGGAAAAAGAACTGTGCAAGCAGATATAATGTTAAGTATGTAACCGAAGTTACGTTCAGTTGGCCCAAAAGATGCCACAGACATGTAAGATATTGATGTTTTGACTGCTTTATTTCGACAGCAAAGTCCAATATAGATCTCAAGCCCTATACTTGCAGAGCATTATGTAGCCGCCACTGTTACCGTTGTAGGCTTAATGGCTTTTGTAGTCGTTTTGCTCGGGGAGTCACTGGCAATGTAAAGTTTTGTGGTATACGATTCAGCAATGTAACCATCATTCCATGAAGTGGCTTTTGCAGTTGCAGTAATTGAATTAAAAACTATACGTAGGAAGGATGGTATGTGACTATTGTTTTTTTGATTGACTGGTGCTTGTGTTGGAATCATACGTTCCTGTACTTCAACTGACACGGATCGACTTTTCCTTGAACTGGCGAGAGAATAAAATTCTTCCAGGAGTGACCGTAAACCGAGTCTCGTGTGTTTTGGTATCGTGTGTAAGTGTATGTAGTGCATTACAATAAAGTAACAGTAGCTTGCAAAAAATACTGATCAGTGCTTAAGGGTCGAAAAGGTCGTTTTCACATAGTAAGGATATAGAACAGCACATGAGAGGCCATGTAATACAGTTCAATCTGTTATGCATATTGCAGTTGATGGCTTTCAGCACCAAGGACAGACACACTTTGGGGATATAATTAGTACTACATGTACATTCAGTACCAAGGACAGGCTAATACTGACACTACTGTGTACATTTATATGTATATCGACAACGTTCAGCATTCACCGCATCATATCATTATAGTACATTCATTTCTGTAATACACAATGTGGTCACTTGGGTTTGAAAACTTTTCGGGGATTCAAAATTTATACACAGACTCTTCCCGCCTTTTTACAATATCATACCTACTGTCACTGATCTTTGTAGTTCTAAAGTTTACTCCAAATACGTGGTATCTGGCCAAATAGGAAATCAAGTTACCAAACTTTAAGCACGTGATACTTAACGTCCTTCCCTATGTAGTTCACTGCCGTGCAACTGTAGTTCCCGGCATCCTCCAGTGCCGCAGCCTTGATGACGAGAGTTCCGTCGGCGCCTACGTCATATCCGGGAATCTCGGTGACGTCATGAGAGAGGACGAATCCGATTGGAGTGGACCAGAATACCTTGGCAACGGGACAACTGTGTACAGCACACCTGATGGGATAGAGAACTCATTAAATCATGTGTGATGTTTCAAGAAGAAAATACATGTATATGGAAGTATTGATAACTTTAAGGTAACAGTTGCAAAGCAAATGCATAATGTTTACCTTCACCTGGTCTAACCCAAAAAAACTGCATTGTTCGATCATTTCGTACTCAAAGTCAAATACATTCACATGTATGGTTATCATTGTGACAGACGACACTGACTTGATTTGATCGCAAAAGAAGAAACTGAGCAATACAATGTTTTTTCTTCTCGCATCAGTTTTGGGGTTGCCAGGGGATGTCATCCATATAATCAAATCAACATGGCCCTAGTAGGCTAGGCGATTATTGGACCAGCGCTAGTCATGTGATCATGAGCGGTGAATTCAAGATGGCAGACTCGAGAGAGAAGGTACTGTATCTGCTCTCATTTCGTCCTACGATATCTTGACTGTAAACCCTGCAAAACGCCACAAAACCTCAACCTACACTAAAGCTGGGTTCTTAGGTGGAATATTAGTGTATTATGACCAACTTGGTGGACGTCGATTAACACTGTATGCAAAAAGATTGGCCAAAACTGAAAAACAGTTTGCATGAAAGTTGGTAAATTACATTTACGCTTCAGACAACCTTTGACCCTTTGCTGACGTCACACGTGGGAAAAATCACATGTCCACAACATTTGGGTCAGATAGCTGAGGAAGACTGAGTGATTCAGTAGAAAATTTCTGGTGAGAAAAACAGTTTGACTCACTTCAATGTGGCCGACTGCAAGTACTTTGTCTGGTTGTCACTCCCGCTCATGTCGACAGATGGCGCTCCTTGATGGTTGCAATTGCAGGTGAGATTCGCCAGGGGGATATCCAACAGGTTGTAACCCTTGTATCGCTCTGGTGCTGAGCATTTAATGTTAGCTAGGTTTTTAAGCTTGGCCGAGTGCAAGTCCTGAGCAAAACCATGCATTTGGCAGTCGCAAGTCCACTGGTTTCCCTCAAGACCAAGTTTTTCTGAGAATGTTGTCATGTTAAAGATGCCGCTGGGTAGCCAGGTCAGTTTGGTACTGGCAATGTTTAAGGTTTCCATGTAGTCTAGATTATAAAATGCCTGCCTGTCTATCAATTCGATCTTGCTGTTGCTTAGGTCTAAGTCTGTGAGGCTTGTAAAATTCGTGAGGGACTGATACGGTATTTGAACAATCGGGTTTCCTGAAATGTCTAGTCTTTCCAGCTTTGGGAGGCTTTTGAGACACTCTGGAATTTTCGTGAGAAGATTTTTCGCTAACATCACCTTTGTCAGGTTCTGGAAACAAGCGAGATCCTCTTCCTGAGTCGAGTTGATTCGATTTTGGTTGAGGTTTAAGATTTGGATTTGACTGACGACAGGACAGAGCGCCTTTGTCGGAATGACTCCAAGTTCGTTTCTCTCCAGCCAGAGTTCTATCAAATTATCGAGGCCGATCAAAAAATCGTCTTCTAAACCGCCAGCTTTAATAGCAGATATATTAGAGATGTCTAATTTCAACAGTGACCCGAGGTCTTTGAACTGACTGGGTGCTAGGGTTTGTATCGGGTTACTAGAGAGGTCCATGGTGTAGATTTGTTTCAAGTCATTCATGTCAGAAGGAGCGCTTGTTAGATTGTTGTCGTTCAGCCAGACATCTGAGAGATAGGGCATGCCTTTGAGTGACACCTTCGCCAAACGATTGTTGCTCAAGTTGATCTGAGCAAGGTCACCCAAGTCTTCCAAGGCGTTTTCCGCGTCCTCAAGTTCGTTACTGCTTATGTCGAAGGAGTGGAGGCTTCTTTGATCCTTGAATGTTCCGTTTTTTATGACACGAATCGCGTTGTTACTGAGGGTCAGAGAAACCATCTGGGTTAGTCCATCAAAGACACCAGTGATGGACTCTAACATGTTATGATCAAGTGTGAGAAACATCAGCGTTGACTGTGTGACAAATGCCCCTACGTCGATGTGTATTAACTCGTTGCTACCGAGAAACAAGCTTTGTAGTTTTGAGCTTCCGGCAAAGACGTCTTTGCCGATGCTTTTGATGTGATTGTTTGAAAGATCCAGCATCGAAAGTTGAGTAAGGTTAGCAAAACATCGTGGTTCTAATTTTGCTATGCCGCTATGGTCCATTAAGATTTGCCAAAGGTGGTGACTTTGCTCGAAAAGGGCGCTGGATATAACCCCCAGGCTGTTGTTTTGTCCGTAGAAATAGGTGAGGTTATGAAGATCGTTGAATATGGTTGGGACGATGGTTGACAGTGAGAGTTTGCGGTTGTTGTTAAGTGAAAGCGATGTCATATTTTCTGCTCCCTGGAATGCGCCTTCTTCAATGGCTGAGATCTTGTTGTTTCCCAGATCCAGAGCTGGGGACATGACGATCATGTACATGTATGTCAGCAATTATCATAACAAAGTAACCCAAAATATAATCGTTAAGTACTAGATAGGTAGGGATTCTCCCTTTTTGAAGGTCAAAGTGGCCTACTACACCTTTGTATAACTTTAATACTGCATTAGAAATTAAGAGAATATCATTATATTCTACAACGTTTTACCTCTATATATAGTAATATGACAGATATATAGTAATATGACAAATATTGTATTCCTTTACCAGCGGTATGCCTTCCCAAAAAGCTAGGGTTGTTGTTGTTGCTGGGTCTGTCGGGTAACTGAAATACTTCAGGACTCAAAACCCTTGTCCTGCGTAGCACAACAATTGTTGTTCTGCACATACAGTACCATCTATATAGCACCCTGTATAGGTACGATTTGGGGGTATTTCTCCTGCAACGCATCACACCGCAGAAACGCAGAAAAACGCAACGAATGCGGAAGTAACTATGCCACTGCAGGGTAAAAAAATGGGGGTCTATGATCTAATTACTAGTAAGACATGAAATTACTGAAAAATATTGTGCCAGGAATGTCAGCAGGACAAGGGTTAACTAACTTAACACTCACCTCGTAAGTTGTGCAGATTGTGAAAATCTCCCTTTCTTATGGTGGTGATTGAGGTGGAGCCAATGTCTAAGAATCTTGTGTCTGCGGGAATGTTCTTCGGTATCTCCTGTGGGAAAGTGACATTGTTGTGTCTTACATTCATACAGAGGTAATATCAGCATCATCGATGACATCATGAACATCTTTACCATCATCGTTACCGTTACCGCCGCCATCATCATCATCAATACAATCATCGACAAAAATGCCATCAGAAGCATTAGCAACAGCATCAACATACAGAGGTAAGATAAGCATCATCAATAATATTATCAACATCATTATCAGCATCATCATCATCATCATTGTCATCATAATCAACACCATTATCAACATCTTTACTATCAACATCATAAAGGTCACATTAATTTTACCTGTGGCCTGGTAGTTTTAACATTTCAAACAACTATCATTTTAAATCTAGATCCAAAATTGAAGGGAGAACGGTGAATTAAAAAAAGATGCAACATCAGCAATTCCTAATGTTTACACACTTTAGCTATCAAGGTGTTCAAGACACTCTTCAAGCCATCGATAATACGCTTTCTTTACAATGTGGTGTTCTTAGGGTACCTAATGAAATTACACAATGTCTATGGGGTCAACGTTACACCAAGGACCTTTCAACCTTAGACCAAGGAGGACCAAGTGATAGAACCTCCTGGTCAGACTTATTAGAAGAGATCTTGGTTCCATGAATTTGATAGAACTTGTCCCTGTCAATTTGATATCTACATGGTCAGATTAATTAGTAGAGAACTTGGATCTATCAAGTTGATAGAACTTGGTTCTATCAAATTGATAGAAGCTTTCTGGCCAGACTAATTAGTAGAGAACTTGGTTCTATCAATGTGATAGAATTTGTTTCTATCAATTTGATAGCATTTGGTTCTATCAATTTGATAGATCAATTTGATAGAAGTTGGTTCTATCAAATTACCTTCCTTGTCGGACTAATTAGTAGAGAGCTTGGTTCTATCAATTTGATAGAACATGTTGATAGAACCTCTCTGACCCTACTAATTAGTAGAGAACTTGGTTCTATCAATTTGATAAAACAGCTTGATAGAACCTTCCTTGTCAGACCAATTAATAGATCTAGAGAGCTTGGTTCTTTAAATTTGATAAAACATGTTGATAGAACCTCTCTAACCCTACTAATTAGTAGAGAACTTGGTTCTATCAATTTGATAAAACATCTTGATAGAACCTTCCTTGTCAGACTAATTAGTAGATCTAGAGAGCTTGGTTCTATCAATTTGATAAAATTGATAGGCCCTCCCTGGCCCTACTAGTTAGTAGGGAACGTGGTGTACAAACCGTGATATCGGCGCCGGTACAGGAGACTTTCATGTCGGGAGCGTCACAGTAACATCCGGCCGGGCAAGCGACCATTTTCCCCGCACAGGCTAACAACATAGCCCAGAAGCAGGCTATGGTTGTATATTCCATACTCAGGTTGTGAAGAAAAGGCCACACCAAGTAAATTTTATGGATGACGTCCGCGCGCGCATTGATTTTGGCCTGTTCCTAGAAAACAAAACAAGAAATTCCGCTTCCTGTAACTTGGGCCAAAGAGTCACGACAGTGCTGCAAATCGTCAGATTGACGTGAAACCCGTAACCCGAAATGGGTAAAGAGCACATGTGCCGCAAAATGATGGTGTACATGCGCACAAGAGTCCGCGCGCGACAGTTCAAAGAAGCAAGATGGTGGGCTCACCACCCTTGGTCGCTAATATGTGGGCGTTCAGGTTGTGAAAGCGTGCGGAAACATTGTTGTTGACTGGTACGCGCTCGATGTCGGCCAGGGAGAGCTAACTTTTGCGCAACTGTACGAGGGACTTGTAGCGGCGAGTGAGTTTCGACCATACAATTTCAAGCAAGTTTTGTCAAGATCAGCCACACCGTGACAGTGCAAATATTCTTCTGCAAATGACGAGAAGGTCGGGAGAGGCATTGAGGTTTACTCCGGCAGTTCGGGTGTTTCATCCGTATGGTGATCGACAAGACAGCTGCTACGACTGAAGCTGTTCCTAGGCCTAAGACTGCTTTTGAGGTATGAGAAGTCTGTTTTAAATCGAGTACCTTGTACGGAAAAAACAAGGGTGAAATATTCCTAGAAGGGGAGTATAAAATAAATGCATACATGTATCAAGGCTCCTTGCATGTGTTTTGCATGGATAATTATGATTGTTTATTCGTTTCTGGTTATTTATACTTGATGTTGGCAAAATATGTGTTTTTTTATTCTTAAATTTTTGGTCCACATTTGGCACGTAAATTGCTAATTTTCAGTCGGATGTGTAAGGTATTTTGGCATCTATAGCTGTCAACAAACTACGCATTCAAGCTAAAAGCTCTTTTTGAAGTACTATTTTGGGGGGGGGTTAGTCTAAATTTTCTTAAGAATTCTTTTTCCCCATCATTTTAGCTTTGATATCCAATTTATTAACGTTGTCTGCTCTTCCATTTCTTTGATTGCATTAAGACACATTGTGAACTAGGAACAGAAGGTTCACTTTTCTTTTCACATGTACATTGTACATGTATACAGGTATGATGAAAGCATCAGGAGAACAAGGTCAGCAGGAGTGGATGTTTCCAGCCTATGCTGGGACTGGGAACACACAACAATGTAGCAATAACAACACAGGTGTGTAGTGAGGTACATTAGATATGGATTGTTGCAGAATATACCCTTTAAATTTAAGGCACTTTGGGGACAGTAAAGACGTACATTTAACTACAACATATAACCTAAGCCTTTATGTTGAATTTTTTTTTCTGAAGAGTTGGATTTTAGCACAATTGACTATTGTTCCATAATTTTCCACCTGTTTCATGTAGTGCAGTGACATGCACTTCACCAGTAGCACAGTGCTACTATTCAGCCAGACTGAAGTCAGGGGTGATGAAGACGATGCTGCCTTTGGTGTGCTGGAACTGCGGTGAGGAGGAAATGCTGCCCATACTGGCAGAGAAGACTCAGCTGCATACCAGACAATAAACCCTGTTTGTCAGGTAGGCATACATTTGTTACCTACATAAATACATTATGCAACTTATGTAGAATAGCTCTAAACATATTTTGTTTGGTTCCACCTTTATTGATATTCTTTCTCAAAAGCTCCTATAGACTATTTGCATAGGTAGAAATGCAGTAATGCATGCAAAGGGTTAATCAGCAACTAATTTTGCCTTTTATGCTTTGTTTCTGCAGGCCTGCAAAAATGTGACAGGACGACAACTGCCGTTCCACCTGATTTATTGCTGTTTTGATGATGAATAAAAGACTTCTTGCTTGTTACACTGTGTCACCTCATTCAATTTGTGTCCTAACATCTGTTGTCTCTTAGTATATTTCTAATCTAGGCATCTTGTTTTTTTGGGCCCTTCTTGTTTTTTTTTCGCCCTCTCGCATTAGATTTGGAGTCTCCAAAGGACGTCATCCATAAAATTTACTTGGTGTGGCCAAACAAAGAAACACTTGGGATGCAAACTTCAATCTGCTCTCGTATGCTGCTTATGCTGCTCTTTGTTGCGTATGCTGCTCTATGAATGTTTCTATGCACAGCAATCTTGCCAGTGCCGCTTTAAACCGGTCTGTATATGAGGGGTGTATAGTCCATCTTTCAGAACACAAAGTACAACGTACTGTATACAACTGAGTGTGAGTTGCTCATATAAGAGCAAAGTTCAGCAATTAGGCAACTATTAAAATTGATGGCGTGCCAAACATGACCCCTGACCTCATGGACTGACTTATCTTTCGACTGGAATGACATGGACTATGATTATGCCTTATGATTTTGACTATTTGTTTTGGTTGACATGTCCTGTTTCCAATGATTGACTACTTGTACTCTTTGTTCATATTATTTACTATCTCTATGTTTAAGTAATTGATTGTCTACATGTATGTCCTTTGTAACTTGTTTTGTCTTATGTCTGGCTACCTTGGAAATCAGTTGTCCTAAACTGAAGGTACCACCCAACCGTTTTTAAGATCAATCAATAAATAAACAATTGCAAGGGCCATTCGCGTCTCAAGTTAGCCATTTGGAATATCAGTTTCCTTTAAGTTTTACTTTTGGTCTTGAATGTAATATACACATTCATTTAATAGAACTTTATTGCACGACAATTGCACATGGTACAATGTATGACAAACTACATAAAGAGAGTAACAACAATAGAATAAGTGTGTTGAATAAGACCTAATGTCGAATAAAACCTAACATATCTATATCATAATCATTCAAATAATAAGGGATATCACAAGTCTTTGATATAGTGTTACAATCGAGTGGGATAATGACAAGTTTCGGCATTTTTCTAATAGCAAAAAAAAAAACATTCCTTTATATATCCACCTATTTTTGCGTTGTGGGGACCATTACATGTAAAGATATATTCAAATCTGTCTCCAACAACGAGACTCTGAATTGACTTCGTATGTTCAATCCTCAACATTGTATGTGTGGGAGTGTATTGTTGACCTTTGTGCTGAGGGTCAATGACCCTCGGTAGGCCACAACAATGCATTATTTGCGTTCATATTATCTGTAGAGCCGAAATATTGAACATGTATATATGTTTTTATATTAGATATAACATCTGTGTCCATAATATCACCAGGGTCCATAATATCGCCACCTTGAGAAATAATGTGCTTAAAGATATTTTTACTGCAACATACCCTAGGTATGTACATTTGATGTGTGAAGGAGTGCATACCAAAAGTATGTTGCAGTAAAAATATCTTTAAGCACACTATTTCTCAAGGTGGCGATATTATGGACCCTGGTGATATTATGGACACTGATTCAGATAATCTGTGTGCTTTTAAAGCTGCAGAAACCAGCCTCAAGATGAGTTCTTTATTTTATGGGTGGTACCCTAAAAATCAACCCAGGGCTCTTCCAGTAACCATTTTCCGTCAGTTGGAATATTTGCTCCATGATGGTCAACATACATTAAGATAGTGTGGTTTCAACTCAGTATGTAGATACGTCATGGCTAGAATATTGGGTTTGAAAAATCGGGTTTCCAGTATCCTAAAGTCATTCCTTTTACGTCATCTATGCCTACCCTTGCACTAGTGCCCTAACCCTGTTCTGAAGAGTGGCTGTCGACATTAGTATCTTGAGAGGATTTTGGAATAAAGGGTTCCCCACGATACGCAAATATAATTTTATTATATTATATTTTATTTTATTATATAACTTATAATTTTCTTTTAAATTATATTTGTAATTGTGTATTGTGTATCGTCCTTTCATTGGTGGTGCGCTAGCTTGCATGTAAACTCAGATCAAAACTGAGCCTGCCTATTTCCAAGCCGACTATGTTTACAATGAAGACAAATACAGTTGTAGGTTTTTTTTCATGGCATCTATTGTCAAAGACTGAAACAAAGACATGAAATGACAATAGAGGTAACTACTTTGCTACAAGAGAACAAGATGATATGTCACACTTCGAGAATCTTAAAAATTTGGGCTGGGCAAAGATGTTTCTGAGTGCAAGCTTTTCTCCAAATTTCTCGATCATGTTTCTCTTTTTCTTGTATCATTTTCCCCTCTTTTTCATATTCTTAAGCAGGAAGAGCCAACTTCGCCCAGTCCTTATATATAAACTGTAACAGCTGTAATATTTGTTAATGCTGTTTCCTGTCTCTTCTACTGTGATAGCTCTATCCAGAATACTGATACCTAAATGTATTTAAGTGTACAATTGCCCTGAGATCTAATTGTGTTGCTTGTTTGGAGTGTGACATAATCAATTAAGAGAAATTAGAATTATAAGAACAATAAAAGAGGTAAGATTGAAAAGAGAACAATGTCACATACTGGTTGAATATAAACGATAATACATACTTAACACAAAACATTCATTTTTTTACCAAAGTTCAGAATAAATGTAGTGTTTGGCGTCCATAGGACATTTTCAGGGAGTTTTTTTATAGATAGGCAATATTTTCCATTTTATGTTTTAGTTTTAGGTAAAAGATTTGTTCAGTACTTGTGATTTCTTTCATTTTGAATTGGGAGAAAAGTTCAATCAGTACCAGCATGTGATATTGTTATCAATTGAGATAAATAGACTTTAAAGTTCTCATACGTTTCGTCTTATATTATGTATTATAATGTTATATAATTGTTATATATACAGTAAAGCTACCGCTATTATGACATATCAAACGGCAGATGCAGACCTAAACAATGGTAAAGTGGCTTCTTAGACCTTTGTTTTGGTTTGGTACTTTACGATTAGGTAACATCAACTACTGAATTTCATGGTACATATGTAATTGTTTTTATTCGGAGGACATCAATTGGAAAGGTGGGGAATATAAAACACCAAAGCTCAAACAATAGTATTTGATTCCAAACTGACATTTCAACAACTTTGAACAAATTTTCTTTGACCAAGTTTTCTCCTGAACTTTAATTGATGACATTTGTGCCATAAATGCACATTATGGGACAGTCTGTTAATCATACAATGTTTGACTGGGTCGTTTAGAGAGGATGTTTTCCATGATTTCCAACAAAATAACTGACAGCATGAATGCTGGACAGTTAAATGGTTATAATTTGCGTTGTTTGTTTTTAATCTTGGACGGAAGCGAAATAAAACAAATCAGAGAACCAAAATGTTGAAAAGGTGTCAGCTTTAAACCCACATCTGCCATTCAACAACTAAATGTTTAAATGTTTTTAACATAACACATTGGTGACTTCACGTTCCGTTGCGTACTAATTATGTAAACCATACTATTCCGTTAACCGTGTATTGGATAATGATGTTAGATTAGTACACACTGTTATAAGTTTAGTTATAAGTATAGTTTATAGCTGTGAACAGTCTATGTTATTTCCCATACACTATACCTGATTTAACTATGGTACAATAAACTTTGACTTGATTTCACTAGAATCCATCATCACACCTTAAAAACAGAAAGTTTTTTTAATGATATTAATAACATGACCACAAAAACTTGTCAAATAGTCCACCTTAATACTTATGAAGTAATTTCATGGAGTTCATAAATGTTACAAAATACAGAGTTGTTTAGAAAAGCAGGTTGAACTAAGTCCGTCCTGAGTAGCAGCCCCAAATGATGCAATTACATTTTCCTTCATATCAACTATGAAAGGATGCCTACATAGTAGTTTTAAGATATTGGTTATATCCAATAGTTATAGAGTGATTCCACCACAGACTTTTATACCTTATACACTTGGTATACAATAAAAAAAGATGTTGAAAATTAGGTCCCCCCTCTTGGGTAATTTCGTTAAAAACTTAGTGCAAAGTACATGCAAGATAACACGCAATCCCGTTACTGTATTTATTAGGGGCAAGTCGGAAAGGAAACTTGTATTGCAAGGGACGTTGAATTTAGATTTTCCTAGCCAAAAATTCAAAATCTTCTCTGTGTTTTTCTCTTTTTTGACGTCTGTCTCTTCGTGCATTTTTGCGTGGTCCTTGAGGCCTCTAGTGGCATCACTGGGGGTAGAAAAGGTTGGGAAATCACCTACCAGATACATGTACCTTTGACCCAGTGTTGACCTCACACTTCAAAGAAGCCATGTGGCAAGCCTCACTGGGTCAGTCTACTGAGGAAGACCAGAGTGACTGGTCAAAAGCTCTAGGTGAGAGAACGTCTTTTTGTTGGATCTAAAGTTTTAACTGTAAACGGGTTGGGAAATTGTAAATACTCGACCACTATTCCGTTTCAAGTATTAGTTGGGGAAAAGCAATCTTACTATCCAGCTCTGAATTGTCCTGAAATCGCAGCCTGGTTGGTGCGAAGCGTATTTTGCAGGAGGAATGGAGGAATGAATGAGTGACTTTGTAAATGAGTGGGCTCTATTAAACAGAGCTAAATTAGAGAATTTAATTATAAGTCCTCTCCATACCTATAATTCCACATAGGTTGGTTAGCCTCCTGTGCAGGCCTCCGAGCGGATGGGTGTTTTGAAACTGGGTTTAAGAATTGTTAACGCGTTCTTTTGCCAATCTCTAGATCTATTTCCACACAGTTGAGCAAGCATTACAGCAGGGGGCTACTCCACTTGTAGTGAGCCCAATTGCTCTTTCCCTAAAATGCTTAGCAGAGAAAGCTGTGTGTTACCATTTGAGAGTCTTCGGTATATATGGCACGATCGTAGTTTGAGCCTGCAAGGTATTTTAGCATCCTGCTCACAAGGCTATGTTTTACACCGATACTTTGAAACGGAATAGTTGTCCGCAATGGTTTTGTCATCAGCCTTGTCAAGTTGTTTTCTAACGCGTCAGTAAACTGGGACTTTCCGACTAACTCCTTCAGCCATGTTTAAGGAAAATTAAGTCCCGATTTACTTAGATTGCGTTGGTAGAAGTCATTATGAAACAAGTTTGAACTGCAATTTCCAACACAAGAAGTTGGACTTACCCAACCGACCTTTCTGCAACCTACGATCCACTGCTCACGGAGTCACGTGTGTTATCTGCGTGACATCACCGAAGCGGTGGATTGCCCATTCCTTGACAAAGACTGAAGTTGTACAGTCAAAACTTTCGGTAAGTTTAATTTCTTGTGTTGGAAATTGCAGTTCAAACTTGTTTCATAACCTACAAGGCTGTTGACAAATTTTGAGATGTTTAAGGGGTGCATTCGGGTTCATCGGCTTCACCAGGCTTTGCACAGATGAAAGCATGCCTCTCCTTTGTGCTCTCGCACCTCTGGACGAACCACTGCCAACCTAAACCCTTGTCCATGTAGACACAGTTCCGAAACCTAGAGAATACATCAAGGAAAAAATCATTGTCAGAATAAAGTTAAAAATCTTCTGCTGTAGCAAAAACTGTATCACATATGGATGTGTTTAATTGAAATTGTGTGTGTTGGGGGGGGGGGGTCAGGGAGAGAGGAAAATTTCCTTGTTAAAGTGTGTGTGTGATGTGATTGTCTATGTGCATGCATTTATTAATTCATTTATTAATTAATGCATTCATTAATTCATAAAGTTTGTGTGTTGTTTCCTCACCCGTTGTTAACAGCCTCTTAACCCTCAGTGCGGTTGGAATAGCCGTTTATGTCATTCGTTCATTCATAATTCATTCATCCATTCATTCATTCATAAAAAAATAAACAAAGTTTGTGTTCTTTCCTCACCCGTTGTTAACGTCCACGGCATTCTCAGCCCAGTTGGAGTAGCCACTTGAGTCATACGCGGTTCCGTCCGCCCACATCCACGCGCCTTCGGTCTCTTCATCCGTCAGGCCATTCCACACACCGCGTCCTTTCCCAGTGCGGCTGTGATCAATGATAATAAAAGAAGAAATGCTTTAAATAAGCTGGGGCCAAGATGGGAATAGCTGTTGGAGTGGCGTGGGTGTGATGACGATGTATGACTCAAATAATTGGTAACTTGGTGGCCTAAATTGGACTAATGTTTCATCAACCGGTCTTTCCTAAAAGAAGAAATGATTTTAAATCTAAAAAAATGGCAGGGTTCGAACTCGGGACCTCTTGGGTGCAGATGTTGTCACATCGGCGCACCAAATCCGTAGTGTGTTTTTGGCATACAGTTAGACAGATTAGCCTAAGAGGCTCGGTGGGCCTCACTCCACCGTATAGGCGGGGAAGTCGTGTTTTAAAAAGGGCACAACGTCGGGCCACGGTGAGTATAGAACCCGAGACCTCTTGGTTCCGAGTCCAACGTTCTAACCGTTGCGCCATCGACGCCACCTACATGACATAATAGGCAGGATAGGCGGGGACGTCGTGTTAAGTGCCTTTCCCAAAGTGACTGTGAGTATAGAACCCGGGACCCCTTGGTTCCGAGTCCAACGTTCTAACCGTTGCGCCACCGACGCCACCTACATGACATAATAGGCAGGATAGATGTTTCCTTACCCCATGTAGCTAGTGAGGTGTCCGACCAACCCATAGAACCTGTAGAATTTTGCCAGACCCGTACAACCATATTATGTGCCACACATTGTACCTGCTACAATTGTTGCGCAATAAACCTTACATGACATGACATAATAGCCAGGATGGCTGTTTCTTTACCCGAGGTAGCTAGTGAGGTGTCCGACCAGCCACTCGTTGTCCTCCTGGCTGCGGATGTTCCAGATTCCCGCCCCGTTTTCCTCGCAGACCGATTTTGCAGTGGGATAATCAGCGGGCCTGTGGTTCAGCCTGAGGCAGATGTCACCACGCATACGCCACCCGGAGGGGCAGGCTACAATGTCGATGTGGAAAAAATGTTTGTTAGAAACAGAACACTTCCTTTTGGTGGTAATTTGAATTGGCCTATTTTGTTGTCGCTTTCTCTCTCTCTCTCTCTCTCTCTCTTTCTCTCTCTTTCTCTCTCTCACACACAGAGCCCCCCTCTCTCACACACATTGTCTACGTCTCTATCTGTCTGTCTGTCTGTCTCTCTCTCTCTCTCTCTCTCTCTCTCTCACACACACACACAACAGCTGGTGTGTTACGCCGAAGGGCGGTTATACCGGCAATACAGATACAGATACAACACCAACACCACCAACAACGACAAGAACAACAAGAAGGTAACAAGGCAGGAGATATCGTACTTAGTACTGGGCCGTCTCCGACCAGAGCCAGGTCAGTCCTCTGATACCAACGTCCGGCAGGTCCCGGTGTCTCCGGACCCGGATCGACCCATGTTGGCAGGTCGTACAGATCAGTGGTCCTGGAGTACGGGTGAAGGGAAAAGTGGATCCCATCCCCTCCGTTGATCCCAACCTTTAAGCAAAAGAAAAGACAGACCACATGTTAACTCCATTTTGAGATCTCTTTCAAAATCATGGATATGGACAAGTCATAGATATGGAGGGTCAATCAAACCTTTGAAAGACGTAACAATAAGTGTCACCAAACAAAAGGATCAAAATCAAGTACTAGTGGATGAAGCTGATCATCATTCGGGGACCTAGAAGTGCCCTAGGTTAGACAGAGCACGTTTTGAAGCTGAATACTTGGATATAGAACTGTCGGTGGGCGGGGCAGCTCTATATCCAAGTATCCCATTCAGCCTCAAAACGTGCTCTATCAATTACTTGCAACACTGGGGTGGATACCAATAAACAAACAAACAATAAACAAACAAATACCTGCGCAGGGTTCGGTCCAGTACCAGTAGTTCCATCTCCGTCGTTGGTACTCCCTTGTAAGAAGTCGATCCGGTCGTAGTTAAACAGGGTGAAGGACTTGCAGCCATCCGTGATCAGCACCAGTTGAAACGTGTTTCTCTAGAGATGTAAGAAACTGATGTATGATTGTTTACCTCACAGTGTCACAGTAAGCTGGTGTGTCGCGCCGAAGTGCGGTTATACCGGCTTTACTGATACAGATACAGTACTGAATGTGTGAATGAGGCATCTTAGCATACATTTACATCACTGACTGACTCACTCACTTTCACTGACTCACTTAGTCACTAACTCACCCACTGTCACTCACTCATTCACTCACTCACTCACTCACTCACTCACCCACCCACCCACTCACTCACTCACTCACTCACTCACTCACTCACTCACTCACTCACTCACTCACTCACTTACTCACTCACTCACTCACTATCCGGTTTAGCTTCAGTTGTTCCCCGTGCACCGAGGGTTGGATGTGCTTGCACACTGACGCTGAGGCTTGGTGGCAGCCCACCATATGCCTCTGTCCTGTGGGTTGATGTTATGTATGCAGATGATGGAAGTCCTTCTTTATGTTGTTAAGCCATCTCTTCCTTGGACGCCTATGTGGGTTTTGGCCTTCCACATCCATTGTGATGATCATTCTTGGCCACTTTTCACTGTCCATTCTTTGGAGGTGGCCATATAATCTTATTTTAATCTTATTTTAAAGCAAGTCATTTATAGCAGCGGCAACAGGGAAAATATATGATAGTCAATTCGGTGAATGACAGGTTTCTTTTATTTACGGAAGAACTAGACTACTGTAACCCAGAGTGGGCATTGGATCCCACGTCACACTTTTTAAATGAAAAAAAAAGAACTTACAAGATTAACACCGTCTCCGCTTGCGCCATACAGCCCAACTTCGTGCCAGGTCGCGATGTAGACCCAGGTCGCCACGAAGCTTCCTTGACTGGTGGGGAAGGCTGTCTGGATGTCGCTGGTTGCCCTGGTTAATATAGCAGCGTCGGTTGTTTCCCGATGGTAAATGTAACCAGCCCGGGTTGAGTAGCTTGTCTTGACGTCCGTGAAATAAACGGCGAGGACCCTGTTGTTCGTCACTGGAAACGGAGTGGGTGTGTAACTTGTTACCGCGCCTCCAAAGGAGATGTCACCGTTGGTATTGACCTGGGGAAAACACCGAGGACTTAGCCACAAAATAAAAACATTTACTTTATACATGTGATTTTAATGCGGTACAGATTGATGGAAAGCTGTTTAAGGGATAACATCTGATGGTGAAGGGGGCCCAAACCTATGATATTTTTTTCCTTATCACAAAAGCTGTCTACCATCCAAAATCCGTGACTCTAGCATATTCAAATCACGTGATTTGAAAGCTATAAGTTCCGCTGCAGCACCATAGCAAGCCGCTAGGGGGCCAAAGGCCTAATCGTTTTGAGGCCAAAACCGGACCTACCCTTCAATAAAGTTTTATGACAATCCACCCATAGCTTCTTGAGTTATCGTGCTTAAACAAATACATATCTATGGACACATTCCTGTACAATTCCTAGAATACAACTCTTGCAGACTGCACACAATGCCATGCCATTAGGCTCGCCCCTGAGGCGTCGCGAAAAACAAACAAACAAACAAACAAACAAACAAACAAACAAACAAACAGGCATATATCAAAATGAACCCATGGCTGTGATTTGGCCATATCACCCTTTCCACATGGTAGGGCACACTTACGTAAAGTTCATTGAAGGAACCTCCAAAGAACGGGAAAGCGGTGCTGAGGGCCTGAGCTCCCGATGTGCTGTCGTCAGCGGCCGGGTCCAGAATGTCTGCAGTACCGGGTCCGTACGGGTAGAAGGCAGCATTGGTCACTGGGGTGATCTGAGAGGCAAAACAGATCAATTATTTCCACGATAATGATTGTTCGTGTATAACTTTCTGACTACTTGTCATTCCACAACATGACGTTTTTGACTACATCTGTGCCAGGCCTTGACTTTATTTTCTTTGCTTTTTCGCCAAAATAGGCCCGTAGCAAAATACAGCAAGGACTATACAGCTAAAACACTTTGTTGTTAAAATTATAACAACTAAAATCATCTTAAATAGAACTACAATAGAATAATATGTGTACATCAGGTAAAATGTCTATACATACTAAAGATTAATTAATACATGTCCACAAACTATGCAACATTAGACATGAACTATAGTATAAAGACTTGCCAGGGGTAACTGAAGTCCACCTGTATAAAAAGAAATCCCGGACTGCGCTTACAAACCTCGGCGGACAAGTAACTCTCCCGGTACCGAAAAGAATCCAGGGAGGGCACGGTCGGCTATAGCTAGTACCAGGTGGCCAGATAAAAAGATCATTGTGCAACCTTAGCCTCCTCGGGTCACATTCAAAAAGTGTAAGTAATTCTTCAAAGGACAAACGCCCTTCTTAACCTGACTAACTGCACTCCGAATCAATCAATTCTGACGCCCTGCGCACAGAACAAAGGCACCACTGACGGTTGGACAATCTCTAACGACCTTACCCTGTTCAAAGGAACATTCAAAAGGTTACCTGTGACGTCTGCGGGACCAGACAAGGACATTCATAATTTACTGATAATCAGAAGGCAACTGTAGCGGTTGCCTTCTACCCTTAGCACATCAATGGACTTAGTCAGTCTGTTGACCCAAGCAGAAAGTGATACCTTCTCTCCCTATTGTCTAGCCTTGTCACTTCAAGGCTTTCCCCTCCGAGCTCGATTATGTTAAGTGGGCGGACGAGATAATTAGCCAATTAAATTGTCATGCAACTTATAGAAAGGTCATCTTATGTGGTCTAACTGGGAGTTACTCTCCAAACAGAGGTTGATGGTGGAAGATCGTTTGCTTTTTATACATGGCCCTTTTTTGTCGCTACCACCACCAACTTGTTGGGGAAATGGTTACAGACTGGCCACTTTGATACTGTCTTACCCCTACCAAAAGATCTGCTTGGAGATTATCAGGGAGTGGGTAGCAGATCAAGTCCCAGTAGATTGAAGCTTTGGTGGCTAGCAAAATTGAAGAATGTTCTAGAGATGTTTGCCAGAATTTCTTGTAACGTCCAGGCGAGCTTAGACGGTACAAATGTCGTGTAGGTTGTTTTGTTCTTTCCCTGTCACTGGTACCATATTCATAATTAAGTGGTATTTTCGCCGTTCTTAATTTCAACAGCGTGAAAAAAGGTTGCAAAATGGTCGAGATAAGTAGGGCCTGTTATAAGCCAATGGAACTTTCACCCGGACGACAATGCATCGGCACTGCAGAACTTCAGTTTTTCAGATACCCTCCTGCTAAAGCTCTTCCCGCCAGGCCCAGTAGGTTTTTTCACGATGGGAGAATGATTAACCCTACCACGAGCTAAACTCCCGGTGTGCCAAATTCTATCACAGGCATAATAACCCTACAGGGCGGTCCGTTAAGCTGGACGGGGGAAAACTTTTTTTTTTATTCCAACATGTAATCAGCAGACGTGGTGACGACACACTCAAGTTTTTTCAACTTATATTAATGCCGCCACCAACACAGGGGACAAATACATGACAGGACAATACTCATTTACACCTGAGCGAAGTGAGGAAAGTCGTGTAAAGTGCCTTTCCCAAGGGCACAAGATCAGTGGCATGTCAGGACTCGAACTCGGGACTCTTAGTTCCGAGACGCGCACTCTGCCGCTACGCCACACGACCCCACCTGAAAACTATTCGAGCCCCGAAGACCCAACCACGATAGACCCGTCGGTGGCCGCGGACCTTCTCTGGCTAATGGATACTGCCTGGCCAATTTGATACTGTCTTTTTGCCACCGATAGGGATCTGCTTGGAGATTAGTTAAGGTAGCTTACGGTTGGGAGGTGCCTGGCTTACCCTCCGAGCCAGAGTCGTAAGGCGACGGGCCGGGCGGAGAGTTTACGGCGCCGGGCCTAGGGTAATTACTAGTATCACAACGCATCTGAGGTACAGCGGAGTGCGGACCTTCACACCAGCAGATCAAGGTTGGCTTGGCCACATTTAGAATCAGGACCTTTACCTCAGGCGGGGGCGCGCGCCGGGTGCGCCCCCCTCTAGATCCGCCGATGCGAGTGATTCAGACAGCAGACCAAGGTTTGCTGACGTTTGGGATCAGTCTGACCAGATTTAAGCCGCGCCTACCTTTGTATAAGAGACTACATTTGTAGCTTTCTGGCAAATTATTCGACTCGTTTAGTTCACTTCGAATCAGGACGACTCGGACCATTACCAACTCGGCCCATCGCAGATCTGGTCAACTCGGCCCACCGCAAATCTTGTCAACTCGGCCCACCGCAAATCTTGTCAACTCGGCCCACCGCCCTGGTCAACTCGACCCACCACCCTGGTCAACTCGGCCCACCGCCCTGGTCAACTCGGCCCATCACAAATCTAGTCAACTCCGGCCTACCGCCCTGTCAACTCGGCCCATCACAAATCTAGTCAACTCGGCCCACCGACCTGGTCAACTCGGCCCAAACACCAAATTTACTCAGCAACGACAAAATATATACCAAAAACACCAACCTTCTAAACAACTACCGTCGGCTCGCCGTGTCCCGGGCCCCCAAAATCTGAGGTTTTTAACTGCTGATTAAAAAAAGCTTAATATGTACGAAAATCATCGCGCATGTGTGCGTCTAGATTTTTTCAATATTGGGCCGAGTCAAAACAGCCTGGTACGTATATGGTTGATGGTTTTAGCAACAAGTAGTTTTGTGTCAAAGTCAAGCCGGTCCTGTCGTACTTGTGAAGATTCAAGGATAGGATAGAGTCTTGCTAAACACAATGTCCATTGGCCAAAAAATTCAAGAATTTCTAGGGGATTTAGCTAGGGGAGCTAGGTTCGACTGGCGCTAACCATGTACCACTAGGCCAACTAACTAGTGGATTGAAGGTATATGATTAAAGATTTCAGCAACAAAGTACGTAGTTTTCTGTACAAAAGTCAAGCAGGTCTCTAACGTACCTGTACGGATCCAACAAACTGGGTGCATTTCAGGACAGCCGCGGATTTGTCGTGCAGCATTTATAGCCTCCTTCCCAGACTTGTGGGGCGGCGGCGTTATTTTTTTTTCGTGGGGAGCAACGCGAGTTATGCCGCGGAGGGACGGTTTTGCCGCCGAGGGATTTTGCCAGGGAGAAAGTTTTTTGGGCGGTGAAACCATATCTCTCTCCGGCAAAATCCCTCGGCGGCAAATCCGTTTTTCCGCAGCATAACTCGCGTCGCTCCCCGCGAAAAAAATAACGCCGCCGCCCCACAAGTCTGCGAAGGAGGTTAGAACAAGCTATGGTTCCTCCCTTCCCCCAGCTTCCCTTTGAAAAATCTAGAAGCGGATAATCTTAATTTGGGGGGTTGTGGGCTAGCTGGGTAAAAGGACCGGCCCGGTGTTCTAAAAGCTTTGGTCCGGCTGTGAGGGTCGGTTCGGGGCGTGGCCTACGAGTACTAGTGTCCGCATGAACAAATTTCAAGCAAGGCAACTGTAGCGCGCTACTGTACATGTAGCGCTAAACATGGAGCGCTAAAATATAATGTATATACCTCAAGAAAGTTTGGGAAAAACACAAAGAGCTCCGTCCAGTGAAGAAAGATTGTACTCTACTTTTACCTATAGTAGACGCAACCTTAAATATCACAATGAATATGATAACTTGTTTGTTTACTTATCGAATGGCTAGTATCAGCATGTAAGAGTAAACTACTAGAATGTCAAATGTACGCCCTCTAACGCCAGACTAATAAGTCCGAAGTGTTTCAAAACGATTCTACACTTGGAAGACGGTGCAGTTTTTGGTCACAATTCCGTTAAAAGTACAAGTGCTCTACTTTTATTTTCGCATTGAAAGGCGTGTTTTCTCTGGTGGGCGAGTTGGATATCTCTTCGGCCGTCGGGCGATCCGACCCGCGGTCGGGCCGGTACCTCGGGTGATACGGAATTCACCGTGTTGTATTCTATATGGCATTGTATCTTTGGAAAAAGAGTAGTTTGAGAAGTCGTGTGCACAACAACGAGAAATTTGATGCTCAATAATCGAGAAACACGCCCGTTTTCAGATTGTACCGGACGGATAAAAATATTTGCCGGTAAAGTAGAAGTTCACTTCTCCACCGGACGCCCAAAAAATACAAGAGGGCGTAAAAAGCGAACTAGCCGGTAAATCTTTATTTTTTTCAACCTTCATTGTAGATTTTACTCCGGACTCAAACATTTCATTGTTGTTTGTTTCTCTCATGCATTCTTTTATCAATTTTGTATCGTCGAAGTTGGTCACTTGTAAAAACCCATAGGCGAAATATCTGAATTTTATAGCGCGCCTTACTATGTAGATTTGACTGATAAATTAAAATTTTTAAACCACAAATTGTCAAAAAAATGGACACAAGTTAATTAATCCAGGGGAAAACAGAGAGTGGGCCTACCTGAGCCGAAGTCACCGCCAGAGAACCCAGCAGAAACGCGGTCAGAACAAGTCGCCACATCTTGTCGCGTCTTGTCGTGTCTTGTCGCGTCTTGTCGATTCGCTGTTCAGAAAGTTGACTGTTACTTGAGCCTAGAGACGGATCAAGGTGGGCCTTGGAGCGTACCACTCAAAAATATGCCAAGGGGTGTTCTTGAAGAGAAGAAAAAAGTGACAGTTAATATTAAGGGTCAAAAATACGACAAACAGTATTTGAAATAGTGCTGTGACAAATCTCACGGATGACGGCAAGAAATGAAATGGAAATAAAACAATTTTTGAAACAAGTGGTTGATATAAAAATATTGCACCGATATGATCACACATTTCAATTAAGTTATGTTCGAAGTCCTTCACTAATTTGATGTCAATCACAATTGAAGTCAAGTGGCTGCATTTAATTGCACTGTTTTTCAGTTAAGTAGTTGATTTAAAATATTGCAAAGACGTTTTCTCACATCCTTAATGAAGTTACGTGCAAAGTCCTTGCCTAATCCTATGTCTAGTCATTGTCTAAGTCAAGCGGCTGCATTTGAATGCTGTGTTTTTTGTCTGCTCATTGAGGCGTGTTAACTTTACAATAGGTGAAGGTTACTGTACGGCATCACGCGCGCAATCTTTGACTGCCAGGGGCACATTTGCCATACGTTACCTAACTATGTACCTTCTTCTCATCCCCATGCCAAATGTTCTCTATTTTGAAAATTAACAAACCACAATAGTGTGACAAACATTCGCTGATGGTTACAAGAAAGATGAATGATACAAAGTTTTTTAGCTGTTCACTGAGGCGTGTTTACTTAACGATAGTTGTCTGCAGGTTACTGTACGCACGTAACCTTGTACTGACGGGGGCACATTTGCCATACGTTATCTAACTAGGTACCTACTTCTCATGCCCATGCCGAATGTTCTCTTTTTTGAAAATTAACGAACCACATTCGTATGACAAACATTCGCTGATGCTTACAAGAAGGATGAATGATACAAAGTTTTATTAGCTGCTCACTGAGGCGTGTTTACTTAACGATAGGTGTCTGCAGGTTACTGTACGCACGTAACCTTGTACTGACGGGGGCACATTTGCCATACGTTATCTAACTAGGTACCTACTTCTCATGCCCATGCCAAATGTTCTCTATTTTGAAAATTGACGAATCACATTAGTGTGACAAACATTCGCTGATGGTTACAAAATGAATGACACAATTTTTTTAGCTGCTCACTGAGGCGTGTTTACTTAACGATAGTTGTCTGCAGCCTGCTTTACGACCGAAATTTTTCACTGCCAGGGGCACATTTGCCAATGGGTCAAGGCCCGCAAAATAAAACAAAATGGCCTAGTTTTGGGGACATCTGTGTATGCCATCGGATAATGTATCTTTATAGCAGGTATAACCGCCCTTCAACGCCACCCAACCGCATATTGAGTTACATTTGAGTTAAAAGAAGTGACTTAATAGGGTTTGCCTAAAGTATCTTACTTTCTTGTCGTGCTTTGTCATTAAATTTTGAGAGTACAGTGGATGTTATCCATAGACTTCAGATACTTTGGCCCAAATAGTTAATGGTATACAATAGTTGTTTGCAGTTTGCTCTACGCACGTAATCCATTACTGCCAGGGGCACATTTGCTCGCAAGAGTATAAAATGGACTAGTTTTGGGGACATCTGTGTATGCCATCGGATAATGTATCTTTATAGCCGGTATAACCGCCCTTCAACGTCACCCAACAGCATATTGAGTTACGTTTAAATCAAATTTAAATTGAAATAATATATGCTCATATTTGGCCATTTTTCTATCTACTGCTGTCTGAGCGTTTTGTTCGAACGGAACGGTTAGTTCCATAAGGGCCATCTTCTTTTCAGCCGTGTTAAACATTGTGTTTGTTTGTGTGTGTGTGTGTGCGAGAGAGAGAGAGAGAGAGGTAGACTGGATGCCCAGAGGCACAGGTCTCTAGTGCGGGTAAAGTAATTGGGCCCTGTGGTGAAATTACCCTGTGTCACGTCAACCATATCATCCTAGGTTACGTAAGCTTTACAATCTCTCGCTGTCGAGGGCTGAGTTAGGGTTAGTCACTGAGATGTTGTGGTCATATATTGATGTTTATGAAGTTTTGTCTGCCCTGATAAGATAATAAAGTTTTGCACATTGGCCTTGATTTCTACATGGCTGACTGCCAGTAATGATGTAATTGTAGTTAACCACGTACCGAGTCACCTTGAATGTATTCAGTTTGTGCATACGACCGATACGACCAAAGGTCTCTTCTGTTCCCCTAACGTACTGTAGGACGTTATCTGGATTCTTCTTGTTGTATGTTATGACGTACCAATAATTGGGACCAGATCAAGTTATGATTCCTGTATGGGAGTTCAGTGACATTTTGATTTATATTCAGTCTGTGTGAACACACTATGCCAGAGGCTCCTTGCATGAGATGACTCATTTTGAACGATGATCCTTTAAACCTGTATTCAGTTTGTGCATATACTGTACGTTATGCCTGGCGCACTCTGTGACATTTCAGATGCAGAGCGGTCATGCAAAAATGAAAACTCATCGTTGAAAATGAGCCATATCACGCAAGGAGCCTCTGGCATAACGTGTTTACATACACCGAATACAGATTTTAAAGATGCCCCTTTTCTTTTTTTTTATTCCAACATTTAATCACCAGACGTGGTGACGACACACTCAAGTTATTTTTCAACTTATATTAATGCCGCCACCAACACAGGGGACAAATACATGACAGGACAATACTCATTTACACCTGAGCTAAGTGAGGAAAGCCGTGTAAAGTGCCTTTCCCAAGGGCACAAGATCGGTGGTATGTTAGGACTCGAACTCGGGACTCTAAAGTTTCGAGTCGCACACTCTGCCGCTACGCCACACGACCCCACACATGCCCCTTTTCGTAAGGCGTAATCAGGCCTTTTAATTTAGTCTACTTAATCCGTAGGTAGCCGCCCCGAGTGCATCGTAATTCGTAATCGGTAAATAAGCGGTAATTGTGCGTAATCAGCTCTTGAGAACTTAACGTAAGGCCACACCGACTTAATTTTATGGATGAGGCTTTGGCCTGGCTGTAGGCCTGGGTAGTATTAGCGACAATACGGAGCCGGGCACCCAGGAGACCGAAGCTCCACGATCTCGTATTACGTACATTGCCGATTCCTAAACTCCGCAAAAAGTCAGCATGTGCCAGCTTGTCGTATACGTCGCTATGTACTAATTCATAATACCAGCTTTGTATTCCTGTGGTTTAGTATCATTTTTATTTTTGGCCGGAATTTCTTTTCATTCGCCCGCGCGCACTAGTTTGGGGGTCTTCAGAGGATGTCATCCATAAAATTAAGTCGGTGTGGCCTAACTCGAAATCGGCGGTGAAAATGTTGCGTAATTCGTACTCACTCCCCCCCCAGGGGGGGAAATGTCCCTGACCACAAGATACCTTAAGCGTCGGTCACAACCCGCCGTACGTGCTTTTTCTCCGTACGTTTTTTGGGAGGCTACGTCTGCTACGTTTTTTCTGAAAACGTGGGGAAGGAGTGGCGTCTACGCACGTCACTCGCACGTCACTCGCACGGTTGCACAAAGTGTAAGAGTATGGTCTGCACGCCAAGTCTGGCCGTGAGCGGTTGAGTGCATCGTACGTTGCGCAAGTGGTAAGTGGGTTGTACGTGCTTACAGCGTACGATCTCCGTGCGATTGCAACTTTACCGTAAGGAGGCCGTACTCACACGTGCTTCTACCGCACGGCACGCGCGTCGCTCGTACTCGCACGCACAGGTGGTGAATCCGCAGACCGCACGTAGAAAAAGTTTTACATGCACTTAAAGTTCTACGGCGTGTCTGCGTGCTCCCAAATCCGTAGGATTCCGTACGGAGGTGGTACTCACCACGCACGGATGCCCTACGTTTGCCCACGTTTTTGAACGTAGACAGCACGCAGAAGCACGTACGGCGGGTTGTGACCGTCGCTTTACATGACCTCCCGACCTCTAGCCGAACTCCAGCATCAGAAAAAACATCGATCAAAATGAGTCATCTCACACAAGGCGCCTCTGGCACATCGTGCTTACACAAACTGAATAGAAACCTGACCCTGAGAACAAAATGTCATGTCCCTGACCACAGGATACCTTACATGACCTCCCTGCTACGATTTGCAGGGTCGTTGTTGAACGTCCTTGTTGTGAATGTGTGAAGTGTGTAAAGCTCCTGTCACACATGCCAATATACCAGCTAACCAGAGACAACGTCCCTCATGTCAAGAAAGTGTTGAAGATGAATATCATTTCATAATGACCTGTCCTACATATACTTTAGATAGACAAAAATTAATGAAAATGATCACATGTAAAACTGGTAAACCTCTCCCAAAGACAAACATAGACATTTTCAATCTACTTATGTCATGCCCCGACTCCATATCTACGTACTTAGGCCAATATATGTACAGTGCATTACAAAAAAGAGAAAGTATTGTAACAGATAGCAACGCATAACTCACATCATGTCATACGCCATTTACGTTCATATTCCTGTAGTAAAGTAGTCTCTTAGAATAGACTTGATTGTATTGATCACACTGTTATTGATGCCATACATTGTACCATGTACAACTGTCGAGCAATAAAGTTCATTCATTCAGTTCATGTCCGAATATATGGCTAAGCTCCAAGCAGATCTTTTGATGGCTGCAATACAGTATCAAATTGGCAAGACAATATCAAATTGGCCAGGCAGTATTAAATTCGCAAGATAGTATCAAATTGACTAGACAGTATCCTAATCGCCACCCAGAGAGCAAATGGTAGCTCGGGTAGCCAATTTCACCGTCCCCTGCACGTGCGCACCCAAATGAATCTGTTTGGAGGTTAGAATACGGCCTCCTGACATGCCTGAGCACTAGCCGAACTTAGCCTGACTAAATCTGCACTCCTAGCGGCCGGCCCGGTATTACACCAGACGCCTGGGGTCAGGCTATAGCCGAACTCAAACATCAGAAAAATCATCGTTCAAAATGAGTCATCTCACGCAAGGAGCCTCTGGCATAGTGTGTTCACACAGACTGATAAATATAAATCAAAATGTCACTGAACTCCCTTACAGGAATCATGACTTGATCTGGTCCCAATTGGTACGTCATAACATACAACAAGAAGAATCCAGATAACGTCCTACAGTACGTTAGGGGAACAGAAGTGATCTTTTGTTAGTATCGGTCGTATGCACAAACTGAATACAGGTTTAAACCAAAGGTTACTCGCTACGTGGTTAACTGCAATTACATGATGACTGGCAGTCAGTCATGTAGAAATCAAGGCTAATGTGCAATACGCGACTTTATTATCTTATCAGGGTAGGCAAAACTTCATAAACATCACTATATGACCACAACATCTCAGTGACTAACCCTAACCAGCCCTCGACAGCGAGAGATTGTGAATGTTACGTAGCCTAGGATTATATCCTTAACGTAACACGGGGTAATTTCACGCCAGGGCCCAATTACTTAACCCGCACCAGAGACCAGTGCCTCTGGGCATCCAGTCTACCTCTCTCACACACACACACACAATTTTTAACACAGCTGAACAGAAGCTGGCTCTTATCGAACTAAATGTTCCATTCTAACAAAACGCTGAGGCAGTATTAGTCGTAGATAGAAAAATGGACAACATATATATGAGCATATGTTATTTTCTGTGGGGCAATTTAAGGGAACTTCATACAAGCCACCTGTAAGCCTTCCGTCACACCAATGGGGGAGGGGGGCTACAGGCGATATAGGTTCCCAGGCAAAGGTCACCATTTCCCGCAGGCGCAGGTGTCCAGTCTGAGACCCATTTGATTGAGTGCAGCCAAACCAACTGAAAACAGCCTTTTTCTTGGTATGTGTGGATTAATGCTGGCATTTTCCAGCTGGAGAGTTATTTCTATTTCCATTAAATTGAAAAAAATGGCTTTCAGTGTTGTTTTGGCTGGTTGGTAGAGTTCTAAAACCAATCTTCGGTGGCTAATGGACACTCCTCTGGCCAATGGATACTGTCTTGCCACCGAAAGATCTGCTTGGAGATCATGTTGCACGTTGACAGCTCAGTTCTCAGATGCTTTCTATATATTCCAAAAGGGGCTGGAATTAGTGGGCTGTCCCCTGACATCCCCTTGCCCCACAGAGTCTTTTTGGAGATTAAACATTGCTTTATTTGCCGACCTTGATAACATTTGGGAGACCAAAGAGATTTATAGGTGTCCTTCTTAATCACTAGATGGTCTCTGAGCCTGCCATAACCTCTAGCTTGTGAATCTGTTCATCTTTCCCCAAATAGTTGGCCGCTGTACAGCTGTAGTTCCCGGCATCCTCAGCGACAGCCGACCTGATGACGAGAGTTCCGTCCTGGTCTACGTCATATCCGGGATACTCCGCGACGTCATGGGAGAGGGTTCGTCCCCTTGGAGTCGTCCAAAAGAGCCTGGCTGTGGGGCAGCTGCGCACATCACACCTGGCAAACAAATGAGGCAAGATTGAGATGAATATGCCCACAAAATAAAACAAAGCAACAATAACCAATAATCCTCATATTTACCTTCGCCAAGAATTGACGAAGGTTATGTTTTGCTGGCCGTGTGTCTGTCTGTGTGTCAACAGCATAACTCGAGAAAGCTTAGATGGATTATCTTGATATTTGGTAGGTGGGTAGGTCTTGATGAGACCTGGAAATGATTAGATTTTTGGATTTAAAATGCTGCATTTGACAAATATTTAGTAAAAAAAATTGTAATGAAAAAAGTTATGAATTTGAAATACAACAAGAGCAACATGTTCTTAAGATTACTATACAGAAAATTAAATTCATTTCTTCAATGCATTACTTCAGTTTGGCTGGTTGCCCGACGGCAGTCTTGTTGTCGCTTCCCGATGTGTCGACAGAGGGCGCTGCTTGATGCTCACAGTCACAGGTGAGGTTCGCCAGAGGGATGTCTCCAAGATTTTGACCTTTGTACTTTTCTGGGCCAGAGCAGTGAATATTGGTGATAACCGACTGGCCGGGAACGTTGACCGACTGTGAAAATGGTTTCATCTGACAGTCACAGTACCAAGGATTGCCCTGGTCCGCGTAGAGGTAGAACGGAAAGGCGCGGTCATATTTTAAGAGATCCCCCGGCAGCCATGTTAGATTGTTGTTGGTCACGTCGATCGAATGCACGCCTTTTAGACCGTGGAACGCAGCCGGGTCAATGACTGACAACTTTGCGTTACTTAAGCGTAAGCTGGCAAGCGTTGTGGAGTTTCCAAACGACCAATCAGAGACGTGTACCACTGGATTACCTGAGAGGTCAAGTTGGGTCAAGTTTGTGAAGGGACGAAGAGCTTTCTCAGGCACTTTGACTAACATGTTACCGGCAAGTTGAAGATTAGACACGTTCGACACTGAAATAAAGTCGTTTTCTTCAAGAGTCGCTATGTTGTTATGGTTAAGGCTGAGAATTTGAATCTGTTTTACTGCAGATAGTGCCTGAGAGGGTACTTTGCTAAGCTCGTTGTTTTCTACCCTGAGTTCCACCAAACTGTGTAACCCGGACAGCGCGTCAGGTGCAAGTCCGCCATCTTGGATTGCGGACACGTTCGAAATGTCCAGCTTCAGAAGGGAGCTCAGAGATGCGAATTGCCCATTGGGTAGGCTCTGTATGGGGTTATTGGATATATCCAGAATCCTGGCATGTTTGATCACGTCCAGTCCTTCAGGGATGGACTGTAGTCGGTTGCTACTCACAGAGATTTCTGTCAGTAGAGGCATACCGTCAAACGACAGCTTGGTCAGACGATTGTTGTTTAAGTTCAGGGTTCCCAAAGATCGAAGATTCACCAATGCACCGCCCGTGTCTTCAAGTTCATTGTTGCTTAAATCGAGTGAATTTAACATAGCTAGGTCCTTAAAGTCATCCTCATCGAGGGAAACGATCGCATTGTCGTTAAGGGTGAGTGTCAGCAGATTTGTAAGCCCGAGAAAAGCACTGCGAACAGATGTTAGCATATTATGGTCTAGCATAAGGAAAAGCATCTCTGTCTGTGTTTCGAATGCGCGGGGCTCAATGTATTTTACCTGACTGTTACTCAGGTTTAGTCTTTGGATATTAGAGCTTCCAGTAAATACGTGGGCGCCAATATTGTCAATTTGATTCTTGCTTAAATCCATGATCATAAGATTCTTCAGGTTGGAAAATGAGGAAGGTTGCAGTTTTGTCACCCCGGCATTTTTTAAGTATACCTCTCTTAAATTCTTGTTTTGTGCAAAGAAATCGGAGGGTATAATTCCTAGGTTGTTATCTTTAGCAATCAATGTGGTCAGATTGTGAATGTCGTTACAAATGGAAGGGTCAACTTTGGTTAGAGACAATCCTGGGTTGCTTGACAATGAGAGAAGTAACAAGCTGATGAGACCCTTAAAAGCACCGGGTTCTATGGTCGCCAGCTGATTCCCGTCCAGAAGCAATCCTGTGGAATGGGACACAAGGCATTTGTCACGGATAAGGTCTAAAGACTTTATAATAAAATAAACAGCAAATTAAGTGGTTTGAACACCTGGTAAGGATGCCGCCACAGAGTGTGCCACAAAGGGCATATAACAGCAGACAATCCGGACCCAAGGCCAGGGGGCGACCAAGGAAGAAGTGGATAGATGCTGAACATCCCTGAACAGGCATTGCCCTACGTTAACAACAGCCTCCAGACTCGCCAACTGTGCCTCCCCACGACACCCCAGATGGTAGAAGTGGACGGATTTAATAAAGTAAAGTAAGTAAGTAAAGTCTAAAGACTTTCAATGACTTGAGATGTAAGTTTCGATTGATGGTTGCTGTGTACTTTTTTTTTAAATCAGGAAAAAATGGACATAAAGGTACCCATTTAGTAGTAGTACGTTTAATGCTCCGAAAATTCAAATCTACCCAGACGTTTTTTTGGATTGCATGCATAATAGAATACCAACACCATTTAGTAATGCTCAGCTAATCAACCCAATTTAAGATTCAGATGATGTTCTTATGTTTATAATAATGACATCAGTAAACGGTCGTTTCGACATACAGAAACAGATAGAAAGTGAGGAAGAAGGAGAGATGTAAGACAATAATATCTTACCTGTAAGGTTGGGTAGCTCGCTGAAGGCTCCCTCCGGTATGACTGAGATGTTTGTTTCCTCAACAGCTAGGTACAATGTATCCGCTGGAACGTTCTTTGGGATATCCTGCCGAAGAATATGTAGACAAGATAGAATGTAACATTTGCAAAGAAAATGCATAGTGTTTACCCTCATTTCGTCTAGTCGATCTGACAAAGTACTGCGCTGTTTATTCTTACACAAACACATTGCAGTCCAATTCATGGTGACCAGCCTCTTGCTGCATACATTATGTAACCGGTAACCCAACACCACAGTGTCTGCTACAGCATCCGTTACCATGGTGACAGCCGTCTGGTCGTAGTTATTGACCTTATTTGTTTGGAACGGAAGAAGAAACAGAGCAACACAATTCCTTCTGCCAAGGTGAACATAATAGTTACAGTTCTTCAATATTTTTTTAAATTGAAATATATAGTGACAAGACGCGGTGGCGACACACTCAAGTTACACTTATCTTCCTGTTGCCACCAGACAATACATAATACATACAAGGAAAGCACGAATTAACATATAGAAATTGAATACAATAATTAATCGATGAACAAGTGAAACAGATATATATTAATGATGACAGGATTGATCAGGTTGTTACAAAAAACGATTTGATTCTAACAATTTTTTTCAAGGAAGAAGACAGAGGCTTCTCTAGCAGGTAAAAGTGAACTTGTACCGTTATATTTCCAGTGCAGATGACGCCATGTGGACCCAACTCTCCACAGTAACAGCTTCTTGGGCACGGGGACCGGCCGGAGACCGCCCGGAGACCTACCGGGGACTGCCGAGAGATCGCCAGGAGACCTACCGGGGACTGCCGAGAGATCCCGCACAGGATGCACAGCACAAGAATGGCGCGAGCCTCCATCACTTGGACGAAACGTAAGCCCTAATGCTGTTAACTTGAGGAAACAGTAAGCATTAATTGTGTTAACTTGAGCAAGTTTAGCATTAATACTGTTAATTTGGACAAACAGTAAGCATTAATACTGATAACTTAGGCTAATAGTAAGCATTAATGCTATTAACTTGGCTTGGGCAAATAGTAAGCGTCAATGATGAAGTCAAAGTCACCCTACGTTAAGGTTAAATGCTAACATATCAAGAGAAGTCCAATGGTATTTATGTTCGCGCGAATGCATTTTACTTGTTTTTGATCTGGCATGATACGTAAATCTTGGAGGACAATAATTTAAAGTTATTCATATAGTCACTATGATAGAAGCAATACGGACGTCAAATTAATAAGTCAACACTTCAAGGATTTCTAACAGTTCGCAGATTTTGTCTAGAGTCTAACGAATATGTATCCCTAACATAACAAATCATACAGGAATTGTCTAAGTGCTGACATGTGACTTGTTTACGTTCCTGTGGCGATATACGCTTGTCTCACTATCTCAAAAACGCTTGCATCGACATTTAATTGAGTTTTACTTCAGTGAATCGGCAACTAGCAGTTATAAAGCATAAGTTAAAGCGTCATACCTTATTATTTATGTGCCATGAAACAGGAGAAAGGCAGCCTGCTGTTTCAGACTTTGGTCTGCAGGCAATCGGCAAACGGCAAAAACCCTTAAGGCCTTTGTTTACAACAGGGGCTAGATGGCCTGGTCAATACGACAGAGTCCAACGTACGCTGCCTCTGTAGAATAATATACAACACCGTACGTTACCCTAGCAGCTTTTTGTAGGAATTTAGACTACAATGGTTGTATTATGTTAATGTAAAATATTCTTGACTGCATGGTCTTTTAATTAGCTGTTTTTTAAGTCTCGCTGATTTCTAGTTTGTGAATCTGTTCTAATCTCCAAGCAGATCCCTCTCGGTGGCAAAAAACAGTATCAAATTGGCCAGGCAGTATCCATTAGCCAGAGAAGGTCCGCGGCCACCGACGGGGCGGGGGGTGGTTGTGTCAGGGCAAAAAAAGGCCATATATAAAATGTAACGATCATTCCCCCACAACCTCTGCTAAGAGAGTAAATCTGTTCAGCCTTCCCGAGGTAGTTGGCTGCAGTGCAAGTGTAGCTCCCGGGATCCTCAGCGACAGCCGATCCGATGAGGATAGTTCCGTCGTGGTCTACGTACGAAGGTTTTGGTGTTATTCTTCCGCAAATGACATAGCCCGCGGCGATGGAGAAAATCACAGTATCCCAAACCTGGTGGCTTAATTATAGGCCTAATCAATCAAGTAATTTGAAAACCACTCTCGAAAACAGATGCTGTCTTGATGGTTTGATCATAGACTGAAGCTTGGAACAGACTTTCTGGTAGCACAGTTCATGATGAAAGCTAGGACTGATAGTGCGGCTGTCAACGTCTGAAACACAACTTCTGTCTCCAATGGAGTCGAAGCTTTAGGTTTCATTATTCTTCCGCAAATGACACAGCCTGCGACGATGGAGAAAATGACAAAGCATTTTGGTGAAGCATCTCTTCTTGGAAAGCCTGATGTCGGGCCCATCCAGTTGCCATGCGCGCACATTTGCATAGTATTGATAAATCCTTGTGAAAAGTTTGTTGCACTCTAGCTCACTGGAGAGATAATTTTTCACTGCAATTTTTCTTGTGACAAAGGGAAGACAGGCCGTCGAGCCTGAAATAAACCATAAACGTAGGGTTGTGTGGCGCAGCGGTAGCGCGTTCGGCCTAGAGGTCCAGGATTCGATCCCCACCCATGTCACCGATCTTGTGCCCTTGGGAAAGACACTTTACACGAATTTCCTCACTTAACTCAGGTGTAAATGAGTACCTAGCTTCGGTTAGGGACGTCCCTCGGATAGGACGTAAACTGGAGGTCCCGTGTTTGAGGAGAGCCACACCTCGAGCACGTTAAAGATCCCACCACACCTTTCGAAAAAGAGTAGGGGCATGCCCTGGTGTGCGATGGTCCAAATTCTACAGCCCAAATACTACAGTGTAGCAGAATCATCAGCAAATTGATGTTGGCTATCTTAACCCCAAAGACAAGACAAGACGTAAACAAACATATAAAGATGCCAAAATGTCCGAGCTTAGAATCCAGGGTGTCTGTTCAATATCCCCATCTTACAGTTCAGATTTTATCTAAATTCTCCTTTTCAATTTCTCATAATCTTTTCTGCGAAGGTAAACATGAGAATTGTATCTAAAGGTGAAAGGTGAGATGGGTGTTAATGCTTTAATCAGACACCTATTTTGTTCCTCGCCGCGTGGCATGTGGTCGAACCACTTCGCTGTATCCGTCCATCATCCGCACCGACTCGGATGAGTACGGGTGTGTTACATTTTCCTCCGGATAATTTGATCTCCTTGGGGAGGTCTTCTGACCAGTTCACCGAGCAGACAACGGTTTGTAAACGTTCTTTATACAATCGTATCTATAACACACTTGAGAAAATGAAAATACGCATTTTGTAAGTTTTTTTTCTACAATTTTCTCGCATTAACAAAGACCTTTCCTTCGCCTCAGACACTATAAAAAACGGTTTTGAAAAGATAAGATTTCGCTTCTCGATGCGTGGAATGCGGTTGAACAACGCATATACTATGACGTAGTAGTCTACGTATGCAGTCTCCATGGAAACAGTCGTCCAATTGTTTTTTTGCCCCAGTTTCTCAGTTCCCGCGTTGACTCGTACATAGTACGGGTGTGGCGCTTTTTACTCCGGACTTTTTCGGTTCTTCGAGGCGGTTTTCTGACCAGTTCAACCAACAACGGTACGATATTTTTTTCATACAATCTTATCTTAAGTACACGACCTGTAAGTTTTTTTTTAAATTTATTTATTTTTGTTCCAACATGTAATCACCAGACGTGGTGACGGCGCACTCAAGTTTTTTCAACTTATATTAATGCCGCCTCCAACACAGGGGACAAATACATGACAGAACAATACTCATTTTCACCTGAGCGAAGTGAGGAAAGTCGTGTAAAGTGCCTTTCCCAAGGCCACAAGATCGGTGACATGTCAGGACTCGAACCCAGGACCTCTTAGTTCCGAGTCGCGCACTCTGCCGCCACCGGACCCCACTTTCTTTTATTTATTTTTAATTCTACTACCCTAGCAGAAATGAGAATCTTCGTGCAATGATGTTATTGCAAGAATAGTTAGTGTTTGTCAGGGATGTCTATTAGTAACGTCAAATCTCACAATTCAGCCGGGTACTTCAAAACTGCAACGTTCAAAAACGGTGTTTCGAGGCCTTTTTATGAATATCTTACACATTGCAATGACGCACTCTTTAAGCAGCTGTACCTTTTTAAATTTTCCAACATCTAATCAGAAGACGTGGTGACATCTCAAAGTGAGGAAAGTCGTGTAAAGTGCCTTTAATTTTCCAAGGTTACAAGATCGGTGGCATGCGTGTCAGGACTCGAACCCGGGACCTCTTGATTTCCCCCTAGGCCTGTATCACCGGGACAACACCTTTTGAACAGATGCCCGTATTTCAAACCACATTCATGTCATTGTAATGACTGAATTTCCAAAGTAGTATCATCGAAATGATGAACTAATTGTGCTGTTTGGGTTTGTCAATATGGTGTTTTGTACGAATCCGATCTCTGCTCCGCTTTCCTATTACGACAATATCCCAAACCTGGTGGCTTAATTATAGGCCTAATCAATCAAGTCATTTGAAAACCGCTCTCGAAAACAGATGCTGTTTGATGGTTTGATCATAGACTGAAGCTTGGAACAGAGTTTCTGGTTGCACAGATCATGATGAAAGCTAGGTCAAAATTACTGATAGTGCGTCTGTCAACGTCTGAAACACATCTTCTGTCACCCTAGAGTCGAAGCTATTGGTTTCATTCTTCTTTCGCAAATGACATAGCCTGCGGCGATGGAGAAAATGACAAAGTATTTTGGTGAAGAATCTCTTCTTGGAAAGCCTGATGTCGGACCCATCCAGTTGCCATGCGCGCACATTTGCATAGTATCGATAAATCCTTGTGAAAAGTTTGTTGCAATCTAGCTCAATGGAGAGCTAATTTTTCACTGCAATGTTTCTTTTGACAAGGGGAAGACATGTCCTGTAAAAACCTACTGTACGGCCTTACGTATAACGTCTTGTAAAGCAAATCCTCCCATTCCAGCTTTTGCTAAGGTTGTTCCAGAATTAGAGTAATAGAGAGAGAGAGCCTTAGCAGTCGCTACTATATTGTTGCATCTTTATAACATATGTGTGTCTCGTTGCCCCTTTTGTTTACTGTCCGTTGCCGTTTTTGTTTACTGTCGTTTGGCACTTTATCTGGGACAATTAATCATCATCATGCCTCTGGATAATGCGGTGAGGTACGATTGATAAAGTTACTCCAGGTGCCCCTGTCCCTCATGGCCGACACTAGAGCAGTCCCTGCGAGACCAATGTCTTTCTCTCTCATTGACTAGTGTAGTATGTGATCGTTCCACTCTACTTCTTCCAGCGGGAAACCACTGGATTTTAGTCTACCAGCTGGTTGATTACTACGAACAACATGCCCTGCCAGGGCGAGCCTGCGTCGTCGGACTACAGACGAAATGGGCGGGGGAGAGCCATAGACAATTAACGCCCCCTTTTCTATCAATCAAAATCGTTCCACTCCAGTTTTCTGATAATTGCGCCATTCTCACGATTCTGGAATGTCCACATGATTTCACATTTTGAGGAAAAAAATTGACGATAACGCTTTTCCAATTTTTCCTGCCATTATGCTACATTTTGCTAAACGTTAAAAAAGACATAAATGTCACATTTATACACCTGTTTGTAACACCTGATGGCCCATCAATGCGTCATGCGGACTAGTTCGCCCCCGGCAGTTTGAGATTGTCTAACACTTGTGTGGCGTCATGTGGCGTGATGGTAGGCCATTAGGTCTGGAACTCATGGGTCCTGGGTTCGATTCCACCTACATGCCCCGGCGTTTTAACCCTGGGAAAGGCACTCAACACGACTTTCCTCACTTAACCTCAGGTGAAAATGAGTACCTAGCTTCGGATAGGATAGGACGTAAAATGGAGGTCCCGTGTTTGGGGGAGCTAAACCTTAGCACGTTAAAGAAACCACCTGGAACATTTCAAAAAAGAGTAGGGGCATGTTCCGGTGTGCGATGCTCCAAATTCTACATCCCAATTCTACAATTTAGCAGAATCATCAGCAAGTTGATGTTGTCTACCTTAACCCACAAAGACAAAACAAGACAACACACTCGTCAGGCTACATTTTGCAGTGCCAGTGAATGTTTGTTTACTATAGGACAGCAGAGACATAGACACCTTTGATGCTACATGGCGCAAACAATGTCATTCTTTCATATCCCGTCTGTTCAACTCCTCAAATAACATCATCCAATCTGCTATTTTAAGAACATTATCAGAAGTTGTTAGTCGCACTAATGATGCAAGTATGGTGGGGTCGTGTGGCATAGCGACAGAGTGCGCGATTCGGAACCTAGAGATCCCGGGTTCGACTCCTGACATGCCACCGATCTTGTGCCCTTGGGAAAGGCACTTTGCACGACTTTCCTCACTTCGCTCAGGTTAAAATGAGTATTGTACCCTGTGTTGGTGGCGGATTTGATATAAGTTGAAAAAAACTTCAGTGTGCCGTCACCACGTCTTGTGATTATATGTTGGAATATAAAAAAACAATAATGGAATTAGTGACTGTCATATTCAAGACCTCAAAATGAACCAGGACCTTTTACTCTTTTGCAGAACACCTATCTCGGGTCTTCCCTAGGCTCCAATCACAGTCAACCTCATCGTGAACAGCGAGTCGATAAGACGCGACAAGGGACGACAAGTCGACACGACAAGACGCGACAAGATGTGGCGACTTGTTCTGACCGCGTTTCTGCTGGGTTCTCTGGCGGCGACTTCGGCTCAGGTAGGTTCACTCTCTGTTGTCCTTAACACAAAGGTTGGACTACCCATGGTAGTAGATATCATATCAGTAAAGTCGGGTACATGTAATATTTACTGTTAAAGCAGCACCTGACTTTACAATGGCATTGAGTGTTTATTTACCACCATTGTAATATACGGTACTGACTTTACATATTACCCGCATTTAGTACCATTGGTAAATCCAACATTTTGTCCAGTGCTTATGGCCTAGTTAATACTTGTTCTTTTTTTTCTTTTTAACAATTTGTGATGTCAAAGTATAAAAGTATGAATCGCATCAGAAGGTTGTGGTAGGACAACAAAGTATTTCACCGAGGTGTTTTAACGCTTGAAAGTACTTAAAATCCAGTAAGCTAGTAGGTCGGTAAATAGACATTGTTCCTTGGTCACTTATTTCCCATTCAGATATAAAAAAAGGTTATTTAAGTGGGCAAAGACACCAGGAACGTCACATCTAAGGCGTTCGGCTGTGTCCCCCATCCTTCTGGTCCTCAAGTTGAAAATGTATGGCGTGCACTCCAACTTGCTTGCTTGGTTCGATAGTTACTTGTCTGGTCGCAGACAACAAGTCAAGGAACATTCAGAAAGTTATTGAAGTGGGCAAAGGCATCAGGAACATCACATTTTTGTTCCATATGACTGTCTATATACATTGGGATACAGTATTACTTTAACTTGTTAATGTAGATTGGCGACTAAGATATTGCTTTTAGAAATTGGTATTCTAACACTTAAAAAAAATTGGGCACCTTTAACATAAGTAAAAGTAAACGCCGGACATCGCATTTTTGTTCCATATGAATGTCGATATACATTGGGATACAGTTATTAGTAACTAAGATATTGTCCGTTAAAAATTGGTTTTCAAGCACTTAAAACAAAATTTGGCACATTTAACATAAATAAATTGAAAGTTTATTGCAAACACTTGCCCGAGGGCTAACTGCAGTTACAAACAACATAAGGAAGAAAATACAGTGTGGTATGTGAGACTATATCTACGTCTAGCATTATACTATATTCTACAACATACATGGTACTAGTTTTTACTGGGTTTGACTTCTTCTTTTTAGGCAGTGGAAGACGAATTTACCCACTCCTTCTATAATATGTGGGTTCTTTGATTTTAGTAGTAAAATTGTTTACGTAATCGATCTCTATCGCTTTCCAGATAAGCCCAGTGAGCAATGCTGCCTTCTACCCGTACGGACCCGGTACTGGAGACATTCTGGACCCGACCGCTGACGACAGCACATCGGGAGCTCAGGCCCTCAGCACCGCTTTCCCGTTCTTTGGAAGTTCCTTCAATGCACTTTACGTAAGTGTGCCGTACCATGTGGGAAGGGTGATATGCCCAAACCACAGCCATGAGTTCATTTTGACATATGCCTGATTGTTTTTCACGACGCCTCAGGGGCGAGCCTAATTGTATGGCATTGTGTGCAGTCTGCAAGAATTGTACTCTAGGAATTTTACGGAAATGTTTCCACAGATATGAATTTGTTTAAGCATGATAACTCAAGAATCTTTGGATGATTTGTCATACAACTTTGTTTATGGGTAGGGCCTGATGATATCTCAAAACGATTAGACCTTTGCCCCCCTAGCGGCTTTCTATGTTGCTGCAGCGGAACTTATAGGTTTCGTATAACGTGATCTGAAGTCACGGATCTTGGATGGTAGATAGCTTTTGTGATAAGGAAAAAAATGACATGTTTGGGCCCCCTAGCAGCTTGTTCTAAAACTGTTTTCGTTTTTAATAATGCATCGACTTTCAACATCAGATGTTATCCCTGAAACAACTTTCAATCAATCTATAAAGTAAATGTTTTTCTTTTGTGTTCTCGGTGTTTCCCCAGGTCAATACCAACGGTGACATCTCCTTTGGAAGCGCGGTAACAAGTTACACACCCACTCCGTTTCCAGTGACTGGCAACAGGGTCATCGCCGTTTTCTTCACCGACATCAAGACAAGCTACTCACCCCGGGGTGGATACATTTACCATCGAGAAACAACTGACGCTGGTGTACTGGCCAGGGCAACCAGCGACATCCAGACAGCCTTCCCCACCGACCATGGAAGCTTCGTGGCGACCTGGGTCTACATCGCGACCTGGCACGAAGTTGGGCTGTATGGCGCAAGCGAAAACGGTTATAATCTTGTAAGTTCTTTTTTTACCTTCGCCAAGAAGGTTATGTTTTCAGTAGCGTTTGTCTGTGTGTGTGTGTGTTTGTGTGTGTGTGGTTTAGCAAGATAACTCAAGAAGCAGTGGATGGATTGGAATGAAACTTGGTAGGTGGGTAGGTCTTCATGAGACCTAGAAATGATTAGTCACAAATCTGGTCAACTGG